CCTACAGTAGGCATTGACGGTAGTTATTGGGGGTGGAGAGGTTTCTTAGACTGGTTTAGAATACCTAAGGATCCCCTTTACAGCTTTTTCAGTGGATATTTTAGAAGTTATTTTGGGGGGAAAAATTGTACTTCAGTGAGTACTTGAAGGAAAGATGCTGTTGCTTCTGCACCTATACTGTCAATGGATTATTTTGTAGTTGGCAAAGGGCTGGTCTTCCAATAGCTGCCTGTATTAAGACCCAGGGTATTTAGAGCAAGGGTCTCCAAACTTTGATTTAGGAGTAATCACTGGCTTGGTCAAAAAGGTTTTATCAGTGAACAGAAACAAAGAATCTTCATGTTCTACAAACTAAAGAAAAAAAAAATGTTGCAGTGGAGTCAATTCCGACTCCTAGCAACCCTCTGGGACAGAGTAGCAGTGCCCCATGGGGTTTCCAAGGCTGGGCTGTAATCTCCATGGAAGCAGACTCTGCCATGTCCTTCTCCCGTGGAGCAGCTGGTGGGTTCGGTGCTTGGTTAGCAGCAAGCACTTAGCCACTGCGCCACCCACCAGGGCTCCACTTCCTTCTGCAAACTAAACAGATGTGATAGATTGTTTAGGCTGCTTATCTAGAAGAATAGACCTGAGAGAGATTTTCTTTAAGGGTCTGTTCTTACTGAGAACTGTTATCTATTTTGTAGTTCAGAAGATTTGCTTTTGTGTAGAAGTTAATAGATTGTTAGTGGTATTAGGTAAATGAATTTAGAAGCCTATTTCCAATAGCCGTTGACATTAAGAGAAGGATGTGTGAAGAAGGACCTAAATAAATCATGTGCTTTCTTAGTCGGTACATGATTTGTGATTCCGTGTGGTTTAAATTCTTTTTATTTTGTGCATGTTTTACTCTTAGTTTATGAGTGAATTAAGTTTGCTGATGTTTGTTCTATTACTGCTTTTTGACATATTAGATAGTTTTACTAATTAGTTCCTAAAGGTACTGAGAAGCATTATCTAATACTTTTTAGTTACATAAAACAAACTCATATAGTTTTTCTTCTAGATTTGTTGGTTTTTTGTTTTGTTTGACTTCATTTTAGGTATCAATACAAGACATATTTACTATTTTAGAATGTTGTATTATAAGTGTCTTTCTACTCAAATATTTTGAAAAAGTTATTCTTGCTGCTTTTACAACTCAAGCTTGTAAAAAATCAATTTCAGTGACACATTCCCTACATAGTTTACTATGAGCAGCATCCTTGGAATAGAAATTTTTCTCATAATGTATGCCTTTTAAATTAACCATGTATTTCTGCTCATCCAGAAGAATCAGTTCTCAAAGGGGGGAGAAAAAACAACTTTAATCATGTATTAAGTTTCTTACAATTCACTCGGTTTATTTACCGGGGTTCACAGTAATCAGAAATGTTCACGAAGTAGTAAAGTTCCTCATTAATCAAAAGCTTCAACATTCTTACAAACTTCTAATCATATTTGTTAAAAATAAAGTAAAATTGGTTGCATTTACTGTATTTTTACGTAAATAACATGCATGTTATACTTTTTTTTGCCAACCACACCCTCCCCCTGTGAGGTATTTTCGTAAGCGCGCTATGCTGATTTTTTGGTTGGCAAAAAATGTATAACATGGGTGTTATTTGTGTAAAAATACAGTGCAGCTATTTTTAATATCTGTTTTCATAGCCATGAGGATGACACAGGACCGGGCAGTGTTTCATTCTGTTGTGTGTAAGGTTGCCATGAGTCGACTCAGGGACGTTTATCTAGCTAATCTTATCTTTTCATAGCCAGTTAATGGAGCCTTTACAAAAGGAATTTATCCTCTACATTGGAGGCTGAGTTATCTATAATAGGAGATCTTCGGAGGTCTTTATCTCATAAAAAGTTTCTTTTCTTCAACAGAAATTACATATAACACCTAAAATCTTAAGTAGATACAGGTGTATCTAATCTTTCTTTTTATAAATTGGAAAATGTTTGTATTTAAATATATATCATAAATATTCTGAGAAGAGTTATTTTACAGGATTTTCCTACTATGTTTCTCTTGGTTGACACTGTTTTCTTTGAGGGAAAGTATAAAGAGTACTGTCAGCATAAGTTGTAATGTTTCATTCAGGAGAACGTACTTAAAGCTTTTAGTTTGAGAAACAGCAGGAGCTTTTTCAAAACTTGAAATTTCAGTGGAACTTGATTTAGACCTTCAGTGCCTTTTATTTTTTACTCAGTTGAGTACATTAAGGCAAGGGCAGTGGTTTATTTCTACTCCGCATCAATCTTGTCCCCCCTCATACTCTTGCATATAAATAAATAAAGCACTTTGAAAAGGCTCTGTTTGAAAGATTACTGTTGGTCCCAAATCAAAGAAATTTTCTTGGGTTCAAAATAATTAAACAGAACATTCCACCCAAACCCACTGCCAGTGAGTCAATTCTGACTCAGCAACCCCATGGGACAGAGTTTCCAAGGCTGTAAATCTTTATGGAAGCAGACTGCCGCATCTTTCTCCCGCGGAGCAGCTGGTGGTTTCGAACCGCCAACCTTTCGGTTAACAGCCGAGTGCTTAACCGCTGCACCACCACCAGGGCTCCTCTAAACAGAACAATAGACCTTATTTATATCTTTCTAATGGTAAAATTTTCTGTAACTTTCCTAACACATTGCAAGTATGACCTGCAGCAGTGAATGCCAGTAACTGCTTCCACAGGATGGCAGTGTGGTGATGTTTTCATGATGTGGTAGATGATTTACAACATTGCTCATGGTGAGAATTTCTTAGAACTCATCATTTTGATGGAAAACCTTTATTGTTTTGGTTTAAAGTATAAGAAAAGTAGCTTAGCATAGATGACTAGAAAGTTGTGATAGATGTACCCAGTAGTTTAATCAGGTTTCGTAGAGACTTTGATAAGCAGGCCCAGGGGCGGGGTGTGATGGCTAGCTGTGGGTTTGTGGTGGTGAGGCTTTCTGCGAACATGAGCAAGCTGTACCAGCAGTCCCGACTGCCGCTTCTCTGTGCATGTCAAGAAGACAGGAGGTTGCTGCCTCTTAGAGAGCTGTGTGAGGTTTTGTTTGTTTGTTTAGATCTCTTGGATGTTGCATGTACTTGCTCTGTTATGTATTGGGGTCATTTGTGTACATCTCTGATTTTCCCCACTAGCTGGCTAGCTCGCAAGGATTTGATTTTTCCAGCTCTGGATGTCTAAAATGCCTGTTGATCGTAGAATCTTAGCCTAATGTTGGGAGGGATCTTACAAATCTTCTGTTCCAAACCCATCATCATGTTGTGAGGAAACTGAAGCTTTTTGCTGTTAAGTAGTTGTTCAAGGTCACATAATGACCTTGCTCCTTTTTTTTTTTTTCTCCTCCTGATTCTGCCTCCGTGATTCTCCTTTGTCAGGGCTTTTCAACATAAGACTGATTGTAATAAAAATGTATTGATAGTAGGAGACCCGTCAATCAAATCGGTTGACAATTCAAATCATGTGACTGAGTACCCTCTGACAAAAAAAACCCTTTGCTGTTGAGTCGATTCCAACTCATAGCAACCCTATAGGACAGAGCAGAACTGCCCTGTAGGGTTTCCAAGGAACAGCTGGTAGATTCAAGCGGCGCTAGCAGGGTTTCCACCCTCTGACTCAGTAATTCTTACTTTACTTTGACTGGCGTTTGGGTTCTCCTGCCTCATTGAGGGTAGTTCCATTCTGACATGAATGTGTCTGGGAAATACATTATTGAGTGGGTGACTTCGCCAGTTTCCGAGACAGTCATTTCCTCCGCTAGCTTGAGGTCTTTGGAAACTTATTCACATACATTGGTCTTTTCTGTTAAATTTAACTTGAGCCTCTATCATTTTCCTGACACTGTCTTTAGTCACCTCTTGTCAGTCAACTTGGAAAGCAACTTAACATTTAAACTGGTAGCCCATAATTTACTTTCTATAGATAAGTTTCGTTTAAAAGCAAATAAACATTCTTATCTAAGTTGGGTGAAGGGGAGAAGTGTATTATTAATATGCTGTAACAGTTTGCTATTTCTAAATATACCTCTAGTCTTTGTTGTTAATAGATTAACGTATTTGCCAACAACTAAATATTGAATATGCTTCATAAAATGATGTTAATAAACTTTATAAGCTGAATAAATTTCACATTGTTTCAGATGGGCTTTATCTTCATTTCTAATTAATTGTAATTACGATTCCAAATACTTTCTTTGTAGTTAACTTCCTAATAGTGATCTGTGAAGAGTTAATGTAAAACAATTTAAGAAACTGTTACTTTGCACATTGTAACCCCTCACCAATTTGCCTGTACATTTGGGATGGACGTGAACTGAGAATAATGTAGTATGCTCGGTGCCAAGAGTAAAGAGGTTTCCTTTATTAGAATCTGAATTCACTTGCTGGTCTGTTTCATGGCTTGATGTTTGTGCGCCCCTTTTCTTCTTTAATTACAAAAATCTTACTGGACATATGATTTTTTAATTAGTTAATGTTTTTACTCATAAGTAGTACCGTGCAAAGAGTATAATGAGACTATAAAAAGGAATATGAAATACTAGAGAGCTTTTCAGAACATAGCAGTTATCCATATATCCTGATGATGATAAGTATTCATTAGCGCTTGCATATTTTGGGTTAGTGCCAGTGGGAGTGGTATTTATTTATTGCGGTATATGTGATGTAGCTTCTTGGGTCACATCAGTGATAACTAATGGTGGATTGAGACAAAACTTAATTCAGTTTGGAGGAGAAGGAAAGCAAATGATGTTCTGCAAAATAATTAAAATAACAGTTTTTAATTGACAGAATCTTCATGATTTTTAATGTAGGATTAACCATCAAGTATGTGTCAAATAGAACAGTCATTTCAGTATTCTATACTTAAATTCGGTTAAAACTTTTGTTAAGAAAATAAAGATTCCTGTACACATTTACGTTTTGACTACTTAATAGTAGTAGTAAATTGTCCTTGTTTCCTATTTTGTCTTTATAGCATATAGCACTTTCTACATTGTGGGTTTAATATTATCCATGCAGATACCCTTTGTGGGATTCCAACCAATCAGAACAAGTGAACACATGGCAGCTGCAGGTATGAAAAAAATACTCATTTTCCTTCTTCTAAAGGAAATGTAAATGTATGATTGGCCAGTCTTCCCAGGGAATGAAGGTGTTGTATTTTGTTTTTAATTTTTGTCATACTGATTCTAAAACATTACCACTTCAAAGTATGAATATCATACAGAGTTTTGAGAATTTCTGTGTTCCGAAGTGTGCGTATACTCAGCCACTGCTGTTTTTAAAAAGGTAGAAACAAAGCTTTTTGCAAACACTGAGTAACTAACATTTGTTTTGTATAAACAAAATTTAAACAGTAGTATATCTCTGCTTGACTGTACCACTGGGCTTTTATTTCAGTAAATTTAGATGGAACGTCTAATTTTTATGTCTGTTACATCTCACTGAAGTGATATTCTAATAGCTACTAATTGTAATTAATGGCTTTTGTATTGATTATAGAATCATTTTTTATAATTCCTCTCCATGTAAGCAATAGTTTGCTGTTATTGATCTGGGCCACAATTAGCAAGATAATGGGAGATCTGTGAATAAAACATTGTCAGATTCTCACCCCGAGTTCATGACTCATAGAAGTCTGTGGGTAGTTATTTTATGTGTGACATTTTATAAGTACAGGTATAACTTTATGCATGAGGTTCCATAACTTTTATTATTAGGTTCTCAATGGAGCTTGAAACATCCCCCCAAAAGTAAAGAACTTTACCTTACTGTTATATATTTTAAAAAAAACCATTTCCATTGGGTTTATTCTGACTCTGGGGACCCTATAGGACAGAGTAGAAATGCCCCATAGGGTTTCCAAGGAGCGGCTGGTGGATTCAAACTGCTGACCTTTTGGTTAACAGCCAAGCTCTTAACCACTGCACCTTCAGGGCTCCTGCTGGTATATAGCATTTTAAAATCTATGAAATATTTTTATTTTCATTTCTGATTTGATACTGTCAGTTTCCCAAGTAGTAATTTGAAACATAGAGAAATGCATGTTCAGTTTTGACTATACAGTCCTGTAGAGCAAATGTAAAGCCATGTTTATGCAGGTACACAGTCACCTGACTTTTTACTGAATATGTTACTGTATTTCCTAAAATCTAAATTTTTGATAATATTTATTTAGATATTCTAAAATGAATTTTTAAGAAGAGCTCTTAATATTTAAAAAAAAATTTTTGATGGTTATTCCAGGTGGATTAGGTTACCCCTAGTGCTTTTTATCCTGGTTTTTGCATTTGACAGTTATATACTTTTCTGTTATTACTTTAATTTTCAGCATCGTAGCAGTCACTCTTGTGCTAATTTAGAATCTTACCTAATTGTATAATTAAGATCACTTCTTGTCACTCCGCTGTACACAGTGCCTATATATCAGGATTTTTCCCATCAAGTTACTTTCATCCTTCGGCAAAGCAAATAATCCTAGGGTTTTTTTTCTGATGTTGTCTTTATTACTTTTCCCCCATTAAACATGTCACTAAAATATGGGGAAAAGAGAGGAATTCATTGTGCCAGTTAGAGGCTTCAGGCATTCAAATGGGATTTTTTTTGGCTGGTGGTCTATGGCAGTATATGCGTGTATGGAGAGTCTGATCACTTGGGGAGAAATATGTAACAGAATTTTTTAGATGTATTAAATTGGTTAGCTGTCATTTGACAAAGGAAATCTTGGCTAGATGAAATGATTAGTGTTTGATATGATTTGTATAGGGTATCTTAAGCTCTTTCAAATATGTATAAATGACATTAGAAAAGTGCTTTGTTGGTTTGTTTATTTATATGAGTCTCTTCTTTAATTAGGTGTCTTTGCATTGCTGCAAGCTTATGCTTTCTTGCAGTATTTGAGAGACCGACTAACAAAACAAGAGTTCCAGACCCTTTTCTTCTTGGGTGTGTCAGTAGCTGCTGGTGCTGTGTTTCTCAGTGTCATCTATTTGACTTACACAGGTGGGTGTTCATTACCTGTAGGATGTGAATCTTGTCTCTGTATTGTAACTCAAAAGGGGCAATTCTTTTACAAAATTTTTACAGGTTCCATTTATCCTAGTAGGTCAAGTACTGTGGTTGTATTCTTTATGAACAATATAAAAATGATAGCCAAAGGTTCTAAAGTCTAAATAGCTATAATACAAATTGTGAATTTTTTAGACTGTATCTTATTATGTTGAGTAAAATATACTTGATAAGTTTTTAATATCTGTATTTATTCATGCTATCCTGAAAGTAACAATTTCTGGAGACATTTAAGTTACTGTATTAAGTTATTATTTCTTATAGCAATAACCACACAGGTTCCCCATGTTTTCCTCTTCTGGGTTAGTGCAGTGGGAGCCAGATTGATTGACAGGCTTGGTACAGAGGGCCTACACTGTAGGAGAGGCACCCTGAATATCGGAGTCTGGGAGGTTCTGTGCACATTGCCCCTCTCTCTTTACTGAAAGGAGAGAAATGTAGTCTTCCTAGTGTAAACAAATTCCTCTTTGGAAGAGAAGGGAAAGAACTGGATTCTTACCTTTCTGAATGATTCCATGTTTCTGGGTTTTATCCCCTTTGAAATCGATGCACATACCTCCAAGAAAGTATATCCCTCCCTCTCTCTGGAATTCTCACGAGCTATTCAGTCATCGTTTAACTTCCAAGGCTTTTGTGTCCTTCGTCCCACCTCTCAAGTTTCAATCAGTTTTTTCTCTTCAATCCCACAACATTATGTAACTTCTCACTATTGTAATATACTCTGTCGTATTTAAACCAAGCTGTTAATGTCAGCTTTTTGTCAAACCACCAAAAAAAATTTACTCTGAAAATTTATAACTAGTAACTGAGTTTACCTAGATTGTACATTTACGTAATTTTGCTGCTTCATGCCTGGAGAAATCCACTTTAAAGCATGCTTCTCTTGCCGGGTAGGAGGCCCAAACTGTGTATAAAATTCAGAGCTGGCGGTGTTGACGTGCTTCACATGTGGTCTCCCCTGCATACACACTCTTTCTGTCTGTTCCTGCCTTTGCTGTTGGTACTTTAGTACTTTAGAGACTGCACGTAAAGCAGTTGATCTGGAATCTGGATCCTAATTTCATAGTTTCTTTTGACAGATGTAATGATTGTATATGTGGCTGAAGCTTCTAATTATATAAAAGTATAGATATATCTAAACAGTCAACCAAGTCAGTTGTAGTCTGCTTCTAAATTCTAAGTTACTTTCTAATCCAGTCTCTGGAAACAAGTCAGAATCTTTCTAAAGGTAGTCCATCTGTCAAGTTAATGTACCAGCCTTAGCTCATAAAATCCTGCAGTATTAATTGACAGGAGTAAAAGCCGTGGATGTTTAAAATGACGTTTGCAATGTACCTGATGGAATCTGGCATACTGAATTGGATAATTTTGCCCCCCTTCCTTTTTATTAAATTATCCAATGCTGTTTTAAGGTCTTAGCCTTATTTTACTAGTTAACTAGAAACTTAAGAAAGAATTAGAAATGTTTCTACAATTTTCATCTATCAACTTAAGTGTTGTATTTCTCTGGAAGAAGAATGCCATCCTCTTGGGTATTTGTTTTTACTTGATCATTAACTGTGTTTTATCTGTCAGCTGTCTGAAAGATGTTGGTACCTACAAAAGAAAAACTGAAATTGTTTGAATATTAGTTTAAATCAATCCATAATAAAACTTCCAAAAAGACAGATTAATTTCCTTTGTGTTTTTCCTTCCAAGGTTACATTGCACCATGGAGTGGCAGGTTTTACTCATTGTGGGACACTGGGTAAGTGCAGATGTGTTATTTGCCCTCATAGTAACAAGTTGTCCCCTATTTACGATGGCGTTTCATTCCAACAACTTGTCATAAGTCAGTTCTAGTGTTAAGTCGAATACTTGTTTTTTTATTTTTTTTAATTATCATCATTGCCTTTCATTATCGGTATCTTCATAAAATCCAATCTGAACGTCTGCGAGTAGAATGATAACATCAGCAAATTATGTGCTGCCACGTTTGTATGTAGTACATATTATTAATGATAAGATGTACAAAGAAAACAGATTTGTTGTAACTCGAATATGTCATAAGTCGGGAACTTGCTGTATATTAAAATACCCTTTTTCTTTGTCTTCTCTTTTGGTCAGTGTGTCAGCCACTACTTGGGCAACATTTCTAGCATATTCTAGCTTGGTAAATGTTAACCTCTTGTGTTTGTTCTTAGCTGTAATACCTATTTTGAATATATTTCTGTTCTGCATGGACAACATCTTATTTTAGTTTATTTGTCAGAACATCCAGGTAATATTTGCAATTTAATTGTTAGTTTTTGCTTTTACTAGGATGTTTAAAGTTTCCATCTTTTTAGTAATATTTAATTTTTAGTTTTTAAAGATACGAGCTACGTTATAAATACATATGCCATAGATACGAAGAAAAATTTAATGTTTTCTATTACCACAGAATCTAAGTTTTTAAAAACTTTTTTCATCTGTGAAGCACACTAGAGAGTATTTGTTGTGTTTTATAGAATGCTATTGCAGAATAAATTAATAAATGGACATTTGGTTTTGAATTAGATAATTCAAAAAATTTTTGCCTCTAAAACGTTTTCCCAAGGAGAAGGAAAACCATCTGATGATGGTAGTTCACCTCTGTCCCCTGCTCCTGCTGTTTTGTCCTCGTGATTACTCTTTAGGTGGCCCAGTAAAAAACCTACCGCAGTTTCTTGAACAATACCGTTTGATAAAGGAACCCTAGTGGCACAGTTGTTAAGTGCTTGGCTGCTAACTGAAAGGTCCACAATTCGAACCTACCTAGTGGTTCTGAGGGAGGAAGACCTGGCAACCTGCTCCTGTAAAGATTATAGCCTAGAAAACCTTATGGGACAGTCCTTCTCTGTCACATGGGGTCGCTGTGATTCTAAGTTGACCAGATAGCACCTAGCAACAACCTTTTGATGCTATACCAGAAGGGCTCTTGTCCAGGTCTGATTAAAGGCGTGAACAAATTATGTGTGATGGACTAAAGCTAGCAGACAAGGTACTTCGAGAGGTCAGCCCCAGAGATCACTACAGAGTTTGAGGGATAATTCCATTTGCAGTCAGTTATTCTGATTAGGTTAAATTATGAAATCATTCTTGCTTTCTGAACTTTAATTACTAATTTGGAATTGCAGGGTATTTTCAGGAATAATTTGTCTATTCCTTTTCATCTCCCTCACCTGCTTCCATGCTAGCTCCTTGTAAAGCAAGGATTGTGGCAGTATGATATCTTACTGGGTAAGGCATTTCTGTTAGTAATAAATCCAAAAGGTAGTGAAGCTCAGTGCAAGCTTAGGAGATGCTGAATTTAAAATAAACTGCAGAACAACTTCCTACTTGATATTTTTATTAAAAATCAGAGCTAACAATTTTATTACTGGCTGAAGATGATTCTCCTGATTTTAGGGAGGGCATGTTAATTTCAGTTCTACTAATGTGGGCCAAAGAGATTTATTTCCAGTATTCCTGGTTACATTGGACTATACATTGAAGCGAGAAAGATGGGGAATAGGAACTATATTTACAATCAAAGAACATTTCTTCTTCTAAAAGCAGCTTCTGTTTTATCATTTCATTCATTATAAATAATACTGACTTTTTTAATACCAGGTATGCAAAAATACACATTCCGATTATTGCATCAGTGTCTGAACATCAGCCTACGACTTGGGTGTCTTTCTTCTTTGATCTCCATATTCTTGTATGTACCTTCCCAGCAGGCCTGTGGTTCTGCATCAAAAATATCAATGATGAAAGAGTATTTGGTAAGAGATACTTTTAATGAATTCCTTAATTTGGAATGATCATTTATGTACCTTACTGAGATTATTAATTTCCCTTAATGTTTTGTTTTTCTTTGCTTGACTCTATACATATTCAAAATAAATTTTCTTACCTATTTTGCATAGGTGCTTAACCATGAAAAATTCATGAGTTTTCATTGTATATCCTTTAATTATTAAATGTTTTACGTTAGGACTAGTATATAAATTTTATGTTCAATTTATTTATTTTTATGCAGATAATGTGCACCTTCTGTGTTTGCCAACTGCACCCTCCCCCCGTGAGGTATTTTCACAAGCACTGCTATGCCAATTTTTTTGCACGTTGCTGTAAAAAAAAAAATTAGCATAGTCCACTTACAAAAGTACCTCATGGGGGGAGGGCGCAGTTGGCAAACAAAGGTATTATTTGTGTAAAAAATACACTATGGTTTCTGAAAAGTTAATGGTATTATAGTCTTTGACTGAGAATTAGAAATTATAACTATTGTCAGTATAGTCTTGACTTCATTTTCTAAGTTAGATCTGATTAAGTAGGAAGAAGCTTGCAAAGGTGTCCGTCATCCAAATTTTTAGAGGAAAGTACATTATATAATGCTGTAGACAATCACTGTTATGTAAGTACTGTCTTCATTGATAGACTTGTGTATATTTCAAGTAAGATTTTAAATACAAAGTGTTGTATTTAAAAGCCAGATGTTTTAGGATCTGACTTTCAAAATAATGGACAGAATGAGCAGACACCAAAGGCTTCTGCATGATTAATCATCACAAGAAGTATTCTGTAGCTGTTCTACATATGATAAAACTGAAACCAAGAAAAGCTGTATAACGTGGACAGGGTCACACAAGCCAACAAGTGGTAGAACCAGGAGTTGAATGCCAAGTACGGGGCCTGGGATCCTGAGAGACATTATTCTAGACAGTAACGTGAGTTCCTATTCTAAAGTGAAGTCAGGAGAGAAAGAAGAGCACGTGTATGAGTTTTAACGAAAGGATGGACACTCATTCTTTTCTAGTTTTTCTAGATTAATGACCTTTAAATCTGGCCATGTGAATAAGGCATTGTTTAATAAGATTTAGCTTAAACTTATACCCACCTCATGACCCAGCAGTTCCACTCCTAGGTATAGTGAGTGCATATATCCACCAAAGAACGCGTTTAAGAACGCACATAGCAACTTTATTTGTAATAGCTCCAGTTAGAAACATTCCAAATGTCAGCAGCAGTAGAGTAGATCAGTAAATTTTGATATTTTTGTACCATGAAATACAAATTAATAAACAGCAATTAATAAAAGAACAGTATGGGTAAATAAAAGAAACCAGTACAAAGGAGAACATTTTTATATTTTTCCATTTCTATGAAGTTTAAGAATAAGCAAAACTAAATTATGGTAGTTAGAAGTTCAAATAATGATTACTTTTTTATTGAGGGTGGGTTATTGATTGGGAAGAGGCGTGAAGGATCCTTCTGAGGAGCTATAAAAATGTTCTCTATCTTGATATAAGTGTTAATCACAGAGGTGTGTACCTGTATAAAGTTCACTGAACTGTATACTTAAGAATAAGGTGTAATCAATACATATGTGCCTCAGAAAAATTTTAAAAAAATTTTTTTTAATTAGTTTAAGAGAATAAGATTGGAGCTCAAATGACTCATTGACTTTGTAAATCATAGCCTTTGGCCAGAAATGGTAGTGCCTTTCCCTGTGGTTAGCACATTATCTAGAAGGTTCTGGCTACTGGACATTGTTTCAAATTTTTTTTAAGCTTCTTGGGAGTAACTTTGCAGCTTCCTACTTTGGTTAATAAATTATGTTCTCATCCCATTCTTGCTTAAAGTAGGCTTTATGCTAGATTTTGGCACTGAGTTTCCATAGACTTTATTTGAGTTTGTAAACTTACTGTGTCTGATCATGTAATGCACAAGTATGTTTTCATCTGTCAGCCATGGATTTTCTCATATGTGATGCATTTGACAGATAATGAATTTACAGTGTGATTCCACCTGAGGAACTGTAATTTGAATCATGATACGTTTCTGTAAACTTTTGACGTGTAGTTTTTGTTTAGTCAACAGTAAGTTAAAATTCCTGAATATGACTATTAATCAGTACCAAGATATTATCCATTTAAAAACAGTCAGACCTTTGTGAAACATTAGTCCATTTGTAAATTGGGTTTATAATGTGGTGTTAACCATCTCGTTTGGTTTCCGTGAACAGCGCTTTCCCTGAGTGTTAAAGAGAACTTGTCGTTGCAGTTGCTCTGTATGCGATTAGTGCTGTCTACTTTGCCGGAGTGATGGTGCGGCTCATGCTGACGTTGACTCCAGTCGTCTGTATGCTGTCTGCAATTGCCTTCTCCAATGTTTTTGAGCACTACTTGGGGGATGACATGAAAAGGGAGAACCCACCTGTGGAGGACAGCAGTGATGAGGATGACAAAAGGAATCCAGGAAACTTGTATGATAAGGTTGGGGAATCTAAATGTAGGAAGCCTTCACAAATGTTACTTGCTTCTTTCTCCTCTCACCACACCAGGAGCTGTCTGTATTCAGAAATGTGATTAAACAAGGGCTTAGACAAACTCTGCTGCCTCTAGTTGTGATGTCTCTACTGTTTGCCTCAGAACTTGAATGCTGGTGGGTCTGTTAACTCAGAGGATGAAAATAGTGTGTAATCAGAGAAGAAATCCTTATTTCTTCTTGATGTTTTCTGAATACTAAGGCTGCTTAATACCGTTCATTTTTGAGAGCAAAAACCTAGTGCTCTACGAAATTACATGAAATTTGGCACTATAAACGCCTCTGAAACCACATGAACAAGGGCTTAGCCTTGAGGTGTATGTGCAATGTAAATTTTTAAAATGATATTTGAAAATGACATTTGGTGGATTGGATGGTAAAACAAAGGAAATAAAGTGACTTTAAAAAAAAATTAACTCCAGTTGGTTAGCAGTAGGTGGCTGGCCATATAATGTAATTCTGTGTTAACCTATAGTCTGTCAGGTAACAAAGCAGGACTATGGTATATTTGGTGCAAATGTAGAAAAGACTTGGAAGAATTAGAGCACTTGTCTTGGATGACATACTAACTTTGCCAGTGAAGATTGGCAAGGTTCTTACATACCAATAAGCAATCAAACTGCCTAATATAAGTATTAATTTTGAAATCATTCCTTCCTTCCTTATTTAGGGCAAGTATAATTCATAAAGATTTGAGTTAGTAAAGCACTCGGCTGTTTTTGTGTTTTGTTATATTTTTTATTACTGTTATTTTGTGGTTTCTTAACCAGCCTTATAGTCTAAAGCCTGTGACTCTGGTCTTCTAATCACTCTTCTGCTTTTTTGTTGTTTGTTTTTAAAGTAATCTTAGTTTTGACAAGTCTGTTGGGTTTGGAGTTTGGAAACTGGAAGAATGATTCTGATAATGCAGTTTTTTTTCCTGTACTAAAGACCTCCATGGTTCTGGATTGTGGCTGGACACTGCCATTTTCAGCGTGCTGAGTTAAAATTTTTATAAGGAAAGGTTGCCAGAATGGGGCCATTGGTTGTCTCCCTTTGTATTTAAGTAAAACTTAAGGACAGCTGGGTTTGGAAGCAGCTTCTTCCTAGAGATGTTACTTTGCTGTGTGGCCAGTGCATGGATTGGGTATATATACTCGGGAAGTCTTCTCGTTCACTTTTGACTTTAGAATCTTCGTTGATGGTTTTTAGAAAATAACTGTGCTATCCACACAGGAATAGCTGATGGTTATACGCTTTCTGAGTGATAGAATTAAATTCATACATATAACATTCCCCCAACTTTTTCCCATGAGTGTGTTATTGAAACAAGTCCAGGGATGAATTTCTATAACCAGTTTTTTGTGTCTTCAGGCGGGTAAAGTGAGGAAACATGTAACTGAACAGGAGAAGACTGAAGAAGGCTTAGGTCCGAATATAAAAAGCATTGTCACTATGTTGATGCTGATGCTGTTGATGATGTTTGCAGTCCACTGTACCTGGGTCACAAGCAATGCCTACTCCAGTCCAAGTGTGGTCCTAGCCTCGTATAATCATGACGGGTAAGAAATAACTTGGCTACAAAAACATTTTACACCTACCCTTTTTTCTGTGTCTCATAAGGTAGAATTAAAACAGAATGTTGTTTGTGAGGCTATGCATTTGAATCTACCATTTTTTTGTGCCTCCCCTCCTCCCCTTGGGGGAGTAATTATTATATTTCATGCTTCCAGATAATCCCTACAAAATAATCATATATATCAGTTTTTCTCAAAAGCGCGGTTCTTGGACACACCATCATCATCACCAGGAAACTTGTTAGAAATGCACATTCTTGACCCTACCCCACATCTATTAAATCAGCAACTCTGGGGGTTGACCTCAGCAGTCTGTGGTTTAACAAGCCCTCCAGGTGTTTGTGATACAGCTAAAATTGGAGAACAGCTGATTTACATACTGCCTCAGCCTCTAGCTTCTGCTTCACTTGGGTGCTTGTTAGACACACAGAGCATCAGCCCCCACCCCAGACCTAGTGATCCGAAACCTGCTCTTTTTACGAGATATCCAAATGATTTGTATGCACTGCCAAGCTTGAGAAGCACTAGTCTAGCTCTTTGATTTTTTTCTGTTAGTTGAGGCTTTTAACCACCATCCTTAAATTGTGAAATTATTTAATGATTGACACCTCAAGACTTAAAGTTATCCTCTTCACATTTATAAGGCCTCATTTAACAGAATGTTGTGATTCTTTTCAGCACCAGGAATATCTTAGATGATTTTAGAGAAGCTTACTTTTGGCTAAGGCAAAATACGGATGAACATGCCCGAGTGATGTCTTGGTGGGACTATGGCTATCAGATAGCTGGAATGGCTAACAGAACTACTTTGGTGGATAATAACACGTGGAATAACAGCCACATTGCACTGGTAAGAACCTGGTAAACAAAAGATGAGAAATACCAAACCCTATAGCAATCCAGCTTCACTTAGGATTAAATAGGAGAAATGTGTGTGAAAGTACTTTCTTCGCTTGCTGAATTCTGAAAATATTTCTCTACACATGTATTCAGTGAAGTGTGTTCAAGGTATGCTTATTTGTTTTGATTTTAAGCTTGGTTTTGACTTAATTGTTCAAGTATCATTCAGAGTTGTAGGCTAGTTTCTGGCAGATTTTGTGATATATTTAGCTCACTGGAAAATGAGGCAAAATCTTTTAAAACACTTTTAAGTACTTGTTTTATGTTTAACTTGCACCCATTTGATACATGAAGAAAATTATTTCCAAATATGGAGAGCAAATGTACTGTATTTTATGGGTATGCAGAGTCTGTTCATTCTAACTTTTAAATAACAAATCTACATAAATTAATCACTTCTCTGTACTTTACAAATTTAGAACAGATAAACCTACCTAACCAAATGAATTCCATTTGCATTAGTGTTGTAGCTAGTCATCAGTTAAACTAGGGGCGAGAATGTGTATGTGCTAGAAAGATCTCTAGCCAGCCCTGGCCTAAGGTTATGAGAATTTTGTTTCCTTTAAGCCCACCTGCTTTTCTTTTAAAATGTTACTTTTATGAAATTTAATAATTAGCAAAACATTAGAACATGTACTTTGAGTTTGGCATTTCTGCTATAAATTGGTTACAGTAGGTGAGTTATTCTTAAATCTCTTAATACATTTACTGTATTTATGGGAAGTCATTTCTACAAAACAAATTCCATGTAAATCAGACTGTTGAGATACATTCCATCTTGTGGTAAAATATATATATTCATGTTTGTTTTAGCACTTTCTGGGACTAAGCACACACATTCTCATTTTTTTTCTTCTGTAGGTAGGAAAAGCTATGTCTTCAAATGAAACAGCAGCCTATAAAATTATGAGGACTCTGGATGTAGATTATGTTTTGGTTATTTTTGGAGGCGTTATTGGTTATTCTGGTGATGATATCAACAAATTTCTTTGGATGGTTAGGATAGCTGAAGGAGAACATCCAAAAGACATTCGGGTAAGAAACAAGATAATCCTAGTGTGCGAAAGACAACTCACAGTAGCCACATAGTTCTCTTATCTTGCTAATTGCATCATATTTGTTATAATCAATCTATCTCCACAATTAGTCCTTCACCCCGATGTTACTATATTTAAAGATACTAGAAGAATATTCCCAGGTTTAAAACTCATACCTAATACTTCCTTCTTCCCTACAAAGTAATCCTGTGTCAAGACCTCTTCTGCTTCTTCACAGCCTCTCACTTCTGCCCCTCTCCGTTTCCCTTGCTTCTATTTCCAGTGCTACCCCTTATGAGTTTAAACATGAAATAGGACAGTAACCTTGAAATTGTTGTCTTTGCCTCAGTCTGGTTCCTTCTTCCAATCTGGCATTGACTATGTCACTTTCCTGTTTCAAGGCCTTCATTAGATCTTGGGAAAGGCCTTGAAGCCAGACAGACTTGAGTTAGAACTAAAACTCTGCCACTGTCGACTTGGTTCTATGGGCAAGTTATTTTTGGCCAGTCAACATAGTATGCTTTGAGTACTAGATCCTTCTCTAGGTGCTGGAGCTGTAATGGTGATTAAAGCAGACTGTGTTATCAATCTACAGGGGATGCCAGGAATAACTAATTTGCAGTGCTGTTACAAGAATGTGTAGTAATATAGATGGGGCCTCTGCTTAGTGGCTGGTCTGAAATAGATAGTCTCTGTAATGAAGTATTAGTATGAAGTCCCAAGTCCTTAGCTTGGAATTGAATCCCTTTCATAGTTTGTCTTCACCTTCCTTTGCTGGCCTTTTCTCCCTCTACCAACTGCTTTTCGCTCTGCCAGTCCACTCCATCCCCTGGACTTGCTTGGTGGTATCTTCTCCTTGACTCATCTGACAGGTTTCGCTGTTCCCTTCTCTACTGCGGACTGGTCGCCTCTCCAGAAGCCCTGCTCTGGAGCACCCACCTCTGTACTCGTCATCACATCACATCTGCCTGTGTGGTAGTTGGAGCCTACCGTCACTCTCCCATTTAGTTATGAGCTTCTGGAGGATGGGCTTCCAGCACCACGCTGTATGTGATGGACACGTGAAGGATGAGAGATTCCCCGCTGATCCAGAATAAGAGAGTCTAGGAAACATGCGTGCGTGTGTGTCACGGGATGGGGATGAAGTAGAGTGAAGCAACGTTTTCCTTCATGACAAAACATTATTTCCTTGTTTTAAATTAATCTTCTAAAATATAAGTCTCCCAGTATGTGATTTTCATTTGTGGATTTGCTTTAGTAATGTTTAAAATGGTGGCATGTGATAGCTATGTTTCTAAATGTATACTTTGAACCATGTATACAGAAATCCTATATTTCTGTGCTTTTTAAAATTCATTGTTTTTAAACTTCATGAAAAGGTAATATACATTCACATGGTTCAAAAATAAAGTATAAAAGAATATACAGTAAAAGCTTACCCCTCCTCCCAAAACGAAGAAAAAGAAAAAAATCTCTGGTAATCACTCTTAGTACTTTTTTATGATTCTTATTCAAGCAGGTAAGTGGTGGCAAGATATAGACTCTGTTCTTGATTTTTTCACTTCACATACATCTTGGAGATGTTTCAGTATTACCATGTGAAGAGCTTTTTCACTCCTTTGTTACAGCTGCACGGTGTGTGTACCGTTCTGTGTGTGCACCAGGATTTATTTAACCTGTCCTGGTGATGGCCTTTCAGGATTGAGGTTGTTTTCAGTAAATAACCTTCTGCGTTCATTACTTTGCCCATATGCAAGTATCTCTCCAGGATAAATTCCTAGGCAAGGAATTACATTTTTTACCTATGTTGCCAGATAGTCCCCTCTTAAAGCTTAATTGAGAAATTTGATGAGATTCCAGTAAAAATAACCATAAGGGTTTTCTGAACACCTTCTCCTCCACGCCCAACTAAAAAAGCTGGTTTTAGAGTTCATGAGGAAAAATAAAGAACAACAGTTAGGAAAATTCTGAAACGGAGTGATGGAGGTAGGGAGGGGCAGTTGGAGAGAGCCAGCCCTACCCAGTATTGGTACCGTCCTTTTTAGTTATTGAGGCTTTATGACATGGTTTAAAATCTGATAGGATTAATTGCCCTACACCACCCCAACAAGCATTGTTGTTGTTTTTTCTGTGTTTTCTTAGGCATTTGTGTTTATTTTTTATAAATGATCTCTAGAATCAGCTTTTAAAAACGCCTGTGATGGTTTTGTTTTGTTTTGTTTTGTTTTAAGGGATCACATTAAAATTATATATTAATCTTTTGATACTGTGGGTTTTTTTTTTTGTTTGTTTGTTTTTTGAGATGTAACTTAGTATCTTTATGAAGATACCTCAAAAGCTGGTTCTTATGGGGAGGTGAAAAAGAGAAGCTGTAGCTTTGAAGTGTTGATTGGACTGATATAAAACCTGCTTTCTTTCTTGTAGGAAAGTGACTATTTCACCCCACAGGGAGAGTTCCGTGTAGACAAAGCAGGATCCCCCACTTTGTTGAATTGCCTTATGTACAAAATGTCATACTACAGATTCGGAGAAATGCAGGTTAGTTATAGCTGGTTTTCTATAATGTTTATTCAAAAAGACTTTTAAAAATCTTGTTTGCCTCTAGAAAACATAGGATAATGATGTTTTGAGTGTGCTGTCTAGAGAAGTCTGCTTATCTAAGTTTTTCTTGTTGTTTTTCATTAAATTTAGATTTCTGAAACGTCTGTGTGAAAAATTAGGGAGAAGAGAACTGTTAGATCAAGGACTTCTTTCCAAAATGTCAGCTAGGCTCAGATTCAGCCTTTATTTGCCAGCCTGTCTTTTTACCTCGTGCTTTTTGGAAGCTGTAGCTTGCCAGGGAAGAGGCCTCAGCTAGGAAACCGTGTGACCTTAGGTGGGTCACTCTGCTGCTCACTGGGGAGAAGCCTGAAACTAAAGGGTTGCATTATATAATCTCACGTCCACTCTCTTCCAGTTCGCATTACCACAGATAACTAGGAAGATCCGGGTCAGAGCTGCCTAGAAAATTAGGATATTGTGGTACAAAAACTTGATCTCAGAACCAGTGAATGTGCAAACAGGCGTAGTGGCGAAAAGAACGGATGGTGCTCTTGGTTGTCCTAATATACGGGGCTTCAGATCTGGCTCTGTCAGGTCACATACCTCTTGAACAACTGACATCCTCCCTGGACCTTAACTTGAGAGTTTTTTCTTGTCTATAAATATGGGTTTTGGACTGATGACTAGATTTCTGAGGTTCTTTTACAGCTCTTAGATTGCATGACCCCAATACCAAGTGATACCTTTATGTTGATGGTTTTAGTAAAAACTGCCCAATTCCTATTGCTCTCTGGTTAAGCTACCCTGGACAGCAGAGGAAAAATTGCGTTGTTTCATTTTGTACCACCACCGGAGATCAAGATAACTGTCCAAACTAAGGGAGTTTGTTTGAGCCTCTGGGGAAGTGAATGTCACCCTTTTATAAAATACAGTCCTAGTGGCCGACATGGGCTAGAACAGCCATTGGTTTGCAGGAGGTTTTGCATATCACTTTGTTACTTACGTTCATTGTGTTGTGCTTCGAGGTCGATTTGCAAAACCAGGCATTTGTTTCATCACGATTCACCTGGAATACGCTGCAGGTGTCTTTTTTAAAAAATAATTTTACTACTAGATTTTTACTTGGATTCATTTTACTTGGATCCCCAGTCAACACCCATAGAAGTAGTAGTCAGGAAATCAAATGACGCATTGCATTGGGCAAATCTGCTACAAAAGACCTGTTTTAAAGTGTTAAAAAGCAAAGATGTCACTTTAAGGACAAAGGTGCACCTGACCCAAGCCATGATGTTTTCAGTCGTCTCATATGCATTCGAAAGCTGGCCAGTGAATAAGGAAGACCAAAGAAGAATTGATGCTTTTGAATTACGGTGTTGGCAAAGAATATTGAATATAGCCACAGACTGCCAGAAGAACAAACAGTCTGCCAGAATGGTCCTTAGAAGCAAAGATCGTGAGACTTTGTCTCACATACTTTGGATATGTTATCAGGAGGGACCAACCCCTGGAAAAGGACATCATGCTTGGTAAGGTAGAGAGAGCGTCAACGAAAAAGAGGAAGACCCTCAACGAGATGGATTGACACAGTGGCTGCAACAATCTCAGATATAGCAACGATTGTGAGGATGGCACAGGACTGGGTAGTGTTTTGTTCTGTTGGACACAGGGTCACCATGAGTCAGAATCGACTCAATGGCACCTAACAACAACATCTAGATTTAGGTTTTTGTTTGTGTTTTGGTTTCTCTTTGATGACCACTGCCTGGTCTCTAAACTCCTGTTAAGAAAGAAGCAGTAGGACCATAATTAGTTACCTCAGAAAACGGGTCAGTGTTTAGTTTTTCTGTTCACTAATGGTATCATCAAAGGACCTTTTTCTATCTTTTATCAACGATTTTAAGCCATGCTTCCAGCATGCATTCATTTTGACGCCTGCCCTACTCAGGAAAAACAAATGCTTAAAACAGGAATATAACATTTGCTATTGTGTAGATAAGTAAGAACAAGATTATTCCCTTTTATTTTTTATTTTTGTTTTAAAGTTGAATTCACTTGTGCTAGGTTTGTGTATTACCATAACTTAGAGAATTTCTTAAAATCCTCCCCCTATTATTCTTCTCCTTTTATTCCTCATAAAAAGGAGCCCTGGTGGTGCAGTGGTTAAGCACTCGGCTGCTAACCAAAAGGTCATTGGTTTGAACCCACCAGCCACTCCATGGGAGAAGGATGTGGCAGTCTGCTTCCATAAAGATTTATGGCTTTGGAAACCCTGTGGGGTAGTTCTAGTCTGACATACAGGGTTGCTATGAGTTGGAATCGACCCGGCGGCAGCGGGTTTGGGTTTTTGGTTTGTTCCTTGTAAATCCTCTGTGGTCTGACTCTTTCGGTCTCCTTTGTAGCTCTCACCTTCTGGATGTAGTATCATTGCTCACTCACACATTTATTTAACAAATAGTTATCGAACGTCTGCAGGCAAAACATTGGGGATATAAAGTGGCATTGTGAATAGGATAGAAGAGAATAACAGCTTGCATCCTAGTGAAAGAGACCGGTGATTTGAATGTTAGCAAGACGAGCTATAGTGTGAGAGAGCAAGGTGCTGTCAGGAAACAGTGGTGAAGACCACTGACTCTAGAAGACACTTAGCTGCAGAGGTGGTGTTTTGGCTGAGCCCAGAGGACAGAAAGAAACTAGCCATGAAAAACTGCTAAATGAAGATTGTTTCAGGCAGAAAGAATAGATAAGTTCAAGGCCCTGCGGCATAAAAGAAGTTCCTGTCTCATGTTATATCTATCTCCATACCTATAAAAAGTGCTTTGAAGGCTTTTATTTCAGTGTTTTGATTTTTTTATGCCTGATGGGCTGTTCATCCACTCTGAGGGTTAAGTAAAATTCTAATTCTGATGTATGAAGTTCTTTCTCCTGATTTCTTAATGTCCAGTTAGCAGTGTAGAGTCCCCGGATGGCGCAAACATTTAATGCACTCAACTGCTACCCAAAAGGTCGGAGGTTGAATTTCACCCAGAGGAACCTTGGAAGGAAGGCCTGATGATCTGCTTCTGCAAAATCAGCCATGAAAACCTTATGGAGTGCAGTTCTAGTCTGACACAACACAGATGGGTCCCCATGAGTCAGAAACAATTCAGCAGCCACTGTTTATTATTATTATTTTTTAATTAGCACTGTGTGAGAGCTATTAGATTTATACTCAATTCTGTTGTCCTAGTTTAAATAGAGAGGGTTAGCATTTCCTACCTTCTAATATTGAAGGTTTTCTAATGTGGTTGACACCTAATACTGATCTCACTTTTGCAGCTGGATTTTCGTACACCCCCAGGTTTTGACCGAACGCGTAATGCTGAGATTGGAAACAAGGACATTAAATTCAGGCATTTGGAGGAAGCCTTTACATCAGAACACTGGCTTGTTAGGATATATAAAGTGAAAGCACCTGATAACAGGGAGACACTAGACCACAAACCTCGAGTCACCAACATTATCCCAAAACAGAAGTATTTGTCAAAGAAGGTGGGTGCCAAGTGAAGTCATTTCTGTAACAGGGGAAATCAAGGTCAGTTGGTGTGTGTGAAAAATAATTAATGAAAATTTTTAATTTCCATTTGCCAAATTTATGAAGACTAAGGTGTATATACAAAGTAGATGTATCAGGCTAGCCTGCTAGGAGCATTCCTTTCTAACTGAGCACGTCACATTTCCCAGGCAGCAACTTTTTCTGGGTAGCAAGAAGGTTATCAGTGAAGCAACCCCTTTCTAAGCTAAGATTTTCAGAGTCGTTCTGGCTTTCAGTTTGTACCATTCTCGTTAGTAAGACGTATTCATAAGTAAGATACGTCTGTGGCTATCACTTTGTGAACCTGTGTGAAAGTGAAAATGTCTAATACTTCAGTGAGAAGACTTGGGTTTGCTTCCTCGTCTTTTCAGTCAAAGCCGACTGATCCTGCGTGTTCATGTTCTTTTCTGAGCATGATGTCAGTTTTTCATTGAATAAAGACGAGGTGTGAGCAGGCTGAGTCCTTCTGAAGCCCCTCCCCAAATCATTTACCTTCAGATTAATTGTTTTTAAATGTAATTATCGTGACAAAAGTTGTAGGTGGGAATTAATGAGACTACTGCAATTCTTTTGTAATATTTAATAATATTGAAGTACTGAGGTCATTATTGATCACTTAAGTTAAATAGATCTCTGATCTTTTCTGTGAAAGACTTCTAAAAATGAGTATTTATGTAGATTCCCCAGCTGTGGGAGATGGACAGTAATTAGCAGTCAGATGACATGTTAAGGTTGTATGGTAAGGTCCTACCCACTGAAGGACTGATTTTAGTCTTGACTTAGGATTAGTGTCTTAATTTTTTAATGCTGCTGTAACGAATACAAAAATGAGTGGCTTTCATGAGCAGAAATTTATTTTCTCACAGTTGAGGAGGCTAGAAGTCCGAATTCAGGGCGCTTGCTCTCTGTTTGCTCTGGGGAACATCCTCATCTCGGTTTCTGTGGCCTCCTCATTACTCCATTCCTTGGCAGTTTTCGCATAGCTTCTGTCTTTCCCCCATTGTGCGTGCTCCTCTCAGTGTCTGATCTGCTGTTTCTGTATCTCAGAAGTCATTAGGTTTAAGGCATACCCTATACTGACACGGTTCCGTTAACATAGCAAAACCGTATTCCCAGACGGGATCCCCATCCACAGGTATAGGGGTTAGGATTCCAACAAATAGTTTTGGAGGGACACAGTTCAATCCGTAACACCGAGGTTTACGTAGCATGGATCAGTTATTCTAAATCATTGAGGCGAGGCAATTATCCCTTTGTGTTACTTCAGATATGCTTCAGATACGTTCAGAATACTGATGTTTTCCGTTCGTACTATAAAAGAGCTTGAATATTAGTTGTATGCTATGTGACTGGAAACTATTTTTTTTTAATGAATACTTTCTGTGCCCAGATATAGTTACTATGTCTACATGAATCTATCTAAAGGTGGCACATGTAGGTGACAGGCATTATTAAGTCATATCATCCAAACCTTAGAAGAACTGGTATTTTAGTATGAAGGCCCGTTTTTGATCCAAGAACTTGCTTCAAATTCACTTACCAGTCTTTAGATCAAATGGTTTCTCACAGGCACGTGGCAGGAGAAACCGGTGAGTCACACCAATGCAGATGTCGCAGCAGATGCTGCTGGTGGCACAGCAGTCACTCCTGAGACATTCAGGCCCAGTTGAGGTCTTCCCCTGCCCCCCCCAAAAAAAGATGGGACTTTTGAACTGTCTAACAGATAATATAGATCCCAGAGGCAGTGAATTTTCTTACTCTGACCTCTGTTGTCTTCCCATCTTTTCACCAGATAAATACATGAATGGAAAAATAAAAATCTGTCTTCTGTGCCCAAAACATATATTCTAGTAGCCAATGACAATGCCTTTTGAATGTCTGATTTCCGTGGCTCTCTGTTCTCGTGTTCTGTACTAGCTCAGGAGGAAGGCTTTCTGTTTGCTTTCTCCCTTCATCTCAGTGTTGGCTTTAAGGGGAAAGCGAGGAGTGGCACAGCAGTCCTTCTGAGAGTTTTCCTGTCCTGCGGGGCTTCCATGGCTGCGGGGCCTCCGAGGAGCCTGTGGTGAGGGACTGCGGGCGGGTGGGACTCAGCACTGCTCCCCTGGGGCTCAGGCCGGCATGCTCGCCTACACCTAGTGTATATAACCAGAGCTCCCAGAAAAGGTTTTATGTTAGAAATTTGTGGGTAATGATAATAAAGGAACTAACTCCTTGACGACAATTTTTTAAAAATTGTGTCCTCTGGAGTAATAAGTTAATAATAAGGTAACATACACTGTGGTTAACAAGTTTGCAGTAGCTGATCTATGAAAGTCAATGAACGTTGCTTGGATTTTGGGCTTTTTTTGGTTTTTTTTTTTTTTTTTTTTGCTTGTTTTTTTGCTTAATCGTTTTTAAGTACTTACTTTCTTACCCAAAAGATTATTCTTGGAGAATGTGCCCAGCAATTTTATTTCTCTTTCAATATTGTAGATTGGTGCAGTCATCCTGGTTTGACGGAGAAGGGACTAGGGCTCCAGAAGTTATTCAGTTAGCTTGCATTTCTAACACAGCTGATTCCTTGGAGGCTGAATCAGGAGCAGCATTGTTTTCTGATTCCTTGGTGTCTAGTGTTATTTTCTTTCGAGCCTGGAAAATTATGTAATTCTCACAACCAAGCATTTAGTGGTCAAAAGGGGAGGGTGGGGTTCATTGGCTTGATAGCGAGGAACTTAGGATAGACATTTGAGGAATTCTGTGGCAGTTCTTTCATCTTAAAGCTAAGGACCTAGTCCAGTTCATCCTGGGTCACTCAGCATACCTAGCATAAAACTAGTTAGTGGTGCTCATTGACTGTTCAAGGAGTCCAGCCATAGGAAGAGCTAAGTTTATGAAGACAGTGGTCGTCTAATGCAGTGAGCCACGTTTGTATGTGTGTTTTTGAATGGGCAAGACACCCGCACCAACACCATGTGTTCTCTTTTCTTTCTAGACGACCAAAAGGAAGCGTGGCTACATTAAAAATAAGCTAGTTTTTAAGAAAGGCAAGAAGATATCTAAGAAGACTGTTTAAACACACTGTTCTGGTTCCTGACTTGAAGCAGTTGTCCTTGTGAGAACCGGTCTTTGCCTTTAGCTCATGTCATGTTTCACAGCAACGGAGGGTACCGAAACATCACTGGTCCAGGTTAATGTACAAAATTTTCTGACAATGCCTGATTAAACAAATAATAAAATTGGCTTATTGAGAACAGCTGTTTCCGATTTGTGATGTGAAGCAAGACAGAGCACTGCTGTAAATGTCTAGCAGCAGATTTTTGTTATTGGTACATATTATCCTTCAGATCTGAGAATTTGGACTAATTGCACCAAAGAACCCTCTAATTTGGTCCCTGGCACGTGCATACTTGTCAATGTTTTTATTCTTTTACAAGACCTGCATTTCATTTGAATACCCAAATAGCAATATGTAAAATATAAACGGAAGAATGTGAAGAGAGCTTCTTGAACCAGTACACTAGTGCAGGCCTGAGAAAGAGGTATTAGAAACGTAATTATACTTCCTTGAAATATATTTATTTTCATGTTTCTCCAGTGCAAAGAATGTTTCATCAAATGTGCGTTTTCTCTTGCTTACTGTTGACTCTGTCTGAGAAGAAGCTGCTGTTTCAGAGATGGACCTCTTGAGTAGCTAATTGATTGAAACCGTATTTTTACACTGACACGTGATCACTGCTGTCGGCAGTTGTTTTCACCAGGTACTTACAGAGCAGGCGTCATGCATTGTTCATTCAAGGGCTAAATTTATATCCTTTGGAAATGGTGGCCACAGCACAGAACATTGCTGACCAGGATGGAGTTGGGTATCTTTGTACTGAGGTTAGCACTGTTTACATGCAAAAGTTTAAAAAAAACCCTTCAAGATGACAGGTATCCCAAGTTCATTCTGTGACGCTTCAAAATGACAAAGGATGTGTAAACTTTGCCTGGAGTTCTCATATTTTAAAGTTTTCTCTATTACTGACTTTGTTCCGTGTGCTCCATGTTTTTTAATCCCTTAAGCATTTGATGAAACACTCTTTAGAGCTATATGCATTTTCTTACTTTTATTAAAAATGTGACAGTTGTCAAAAAATGCACTAAAATATAAATGGAGATTGAACATGTTCACTTTCCAGCTTATAGGCAACTTTATACAGACTTGAAATTTTTCTCCAGTTTAGTGAAAGAGAAAGTGTTTTTCCTGCCACAGGATATAACTTTTTTTTTTATATAACAAGCATAACTTACACCACTGCTTTTGGTGGAAAAGTACAGAATAGTATGTACCTTTTATGAAGAAAAATGTAATTTACATTGTTCCGTGAGAATGTTACTGCTGATTTTCTTTTCCAAGGTGTAGAATATTCTTTGATTTATAAAGTTCATTTTTGACCCAGATGATGGTTCTTTTACAGACCAATAAAATGGCTGTAACATTTTCACAAATAAAGTGTAACTAAATCTGGATTTCTGATACCTTGTCATTGGTAGGGTGGGGGGATTCTATTTTACTTTGTTGCTTTAAAATTCAATGCAGAGAAGTTGTTGACTGTAGGGGAAATAAAGTTAATTCAGATTTTGTGTTAAGTGTTGTTTTTTACAAATCGTGTTGTTTTTGAAAGGAGTTACCCAGTACTGACCACATACCTCCTCCTTTGTTCACTTTTACAAAAGCCTTTGAGAATATACACAGTCTGCAGGATTTTCTCCTTTTGAGCAGGAAGCCTCTTCTTGCCCTTTTGAGTTTTAGGGAACACCATTTTGGTTCAGTGGATTTCATCAGTGAGAGACACTGTAACTGCTTAACCATTTGTGGTTTTGTTATAGCAGAAAGTGAAATTATAGTAGTTTGAATACATTGGAATATAACCCTGAAGTTTTAGACTGTAAAACGGCTTTTGTTTGTAGTCTACACTTCAGAATTGAACAAAGCTATAATGCTTTGCAGTATGAATGAAGCAGCTGGGGCAGCACATCCAAAGACAAAGTTTAGTTTTCAGGCTCAGATTGTTGCCTACTTGAGCTTGCAGTTGTAGAGTTTTAATTCATTTAAGTCCCCAGGCTGCGACCCAGCGCCAGAGGCCAAGATGGTGTAAAGCATCCTGTAGAGCAAGTTACTATTTCCATAGCCAAGAGGCCGTAAGGTCGTGGAATCTGGAGCTGCTGCCTCTTGGTGGGAGTCCCTGGGTGGTGCAGATGGTTAATGCACTTGACTACTAACCAAAACGTTGGAGGTTTGAGTCTGCTCAGAGGCACCTCGGAAGAAAGGCTTGGCAGTCTTCTGAAAAATCAGCCATTAAAAACCCTATGAGGCACAGTTCTGCTGTGACACGCGTGGGTAGCCATGAGTCGGAAACAACTCGACAGCAGTTGGGTTGGGTTTGGATTGGCTTCTCAGCGGATTTTTTTTTTTTTTTTCAGAAGTCTGCCTTGTTGTGCCTACAATCCTGAGTTGAGGTAGGTGGAGTAATGGATAAATGTAGAGCTTAGCTATGGTCTGCAGTTGAGACTGAGGTAACAACCAGTAATGAGATGTCATGCTTTCTAATCTTTCTTTTAAATTAAACCCTTTTTATGGTGAAGTGTAAAATAGAGAAGAACACAAAAATGTCTGGCTTAGTGAATTACCACAAAGCAAGCAACCTGGTAACCACAGCCCAGGTCAAGGAAGAGAACAGTGCCAGCACCCCAGAAGTTTCTTCATGCCCCTACCCAATCACGGTCCTGTCCCACTTCCCCTTCCAAAAGGTAATCACTCTTTTAGATTTCTTAGTAGTTACTTAACCTTTGTTTAGTGGTATTATCACTTAAATGTTTCTCCCTGAACACAATTGTTTCATTGCAACTAGTCTTTGAACTTTATATAAATGGAATCATAGAGTATGTACTCTTTTGTATCTAGTTTTTCTTTTGCTCAGTATTATGTTTAAGAAATTCCTCCAGATTGTTGCGTGCAGCTCTAAGTTGATTTTCACTGATATGTAGTATTCCTTTATGTATGTGTGTATACGTTCTATTGTTGATAGACATTTGCATTGTTTCCGGGTTGAGGGTATTAAGAAGAATGCTTTAAGGAATATGTTCTTCATCTCTCTTGGTGCTCTTACACGTGCATTTCTGTAGGTGTTTATCTAAAAGTGGAATTGCCGGGTGGAACATGAACGTTCGTACTGCTCAATATTCTAACTATAGCCCTTATCTTAATCTTGCCTTTCTAGTGGGTGGATAGTAGTATATCATTGTTAAATTTGTCTTTCCCAGGTTACTGATGAGGTTTGCCAATTGTAAGATGTCAGTTTTAGCCTTTTACACATTTTTTTATTGGTTTTCCTTTTTCAAATTTATTAGTAGGAGTTCTTTATATATCCTGGATATGAGCCGTTCATCATTGGTGTGGCAAACTTGTGCTCTGCAGCTTGCCTGGGGTTCATCATTTTAATGTAGTGTTATTTTTCAGTCTTTAGTATATCTGTAACTTTCTGTGTCCTGTTTAGGAATTATTTTCCTGAGGCCTCTGTTATTTTCCAGAAGATTTATTGTTTTGCTTGTCATACTTAGCTTGGCAGTAAGTCAGGTGTCTACATGAGTCCATTTCTGAGCCCTCTGTTAATTCTACGGAGCCCTTGTCTTTGTGTGTTGATTTAATTACTGTAGCTTTAAGATTAAAGTCTCGGTGTATACTAAAGCAAGTTCGGGGCGGGGGGAGTTTAAAAAAACCTGTGGGCTGTTGAGGCCTCTAGCGATGAAGATGGCATATCCTTCAACTTATACAGGTTTTCTTTAATTTCTGTGTTGTATAGTTTTTGAACAGGTCTTGCGCACTTCCATAAATTTTATTAAAGGGTATTTGTTATTTTTTGGTGTAGTAGTAAATACTGTGTCTTATAAAATTTTATTTTCCAATAGTGAATATATAGAAACAGGTAATTTTTTTTTTTTGTATGTTGACTTTGTATTCAACAACGTTGTTAAACTTATTTTCACAGTTTATTCAAAGATTGTTGTAACGTGAACATACATCATCATAATCTATGAGTAATGACTGTTTTCTTTCTAATGGTTATTTAAGGAGCCCTGGTGGCACAGTGGTTAAGCGTTCAGCTGCTAACCATAAGGTCGGCAGTTCGGATCCACCAGCTGCTCCTTGGAAACCCTGAGGCATTTAGTTCTACTTTGTCCTGTAGGGTCGCTATGAGTCAGAATTGACTGGACAGCACACAATGATTATATATTTTCTTGCTTTACTGCACTGACTAGGGCATCTGGTATAGAAGAGGTGGTAACATGCACATTGGGTATCTCTTTGTGTATGCCTTGTCTGACACGCACTGGCTATAATTCTAAATCGAAATATCCTCTCTCCAACACCAGTTGCAAATGCAGTACTACTACTTTTGAACATAACCACTGGAACTAAGCTCTCACAAATTAAAGGACACGGTTTTCCAGACTGTCAAAAACTGCTCACAACTTCAGACGTAAGTTGCAGTCTTGGGCATCTCCATGACACCCTCACTTCTGACCTGCTGGCTAGGAATTCGAGGTTTTCCATTATCCCGCTCAGGATGCCAGCTGTAACATTGTAGGTCTCCAGGGTCTCACTGCCTTCATACTCAGGATTCATACTCAGGATTCATACTCAGGATTCATACTTAGGATTCCCATTACCCACTTGGTTTGATAATTTGTTTGAACGACCCACAGAGCTCAGGAAAGCATATGCTTAAAATTAGTTTTATTATAGCAAAAAGAATACAAATGGAGCAACACATAAGGCAAGCTCTGGAAGAATTCCCATGGGGGAGTTTCCGTGTCCCAAAAGGAGACGTGTCACCCTCCGAATTACCAGTGTCTTTCACCAACCAGGAAGCTCCCTGAGCTTTAGTGTTTTTATTGTGGCTTCATTACATAGGTGTGGTTGGACTCAATCTCCATTCCACACTAATCTCCCCTCCCCCCTGCTGGTGTCACATGTAGGTCTTTATAGCCTGGCCAGCCCTCACCCAAGAGTCACTTCATTAGCATAACCTGTCAGGTAAATGTGGTCTGGAACCCCTTAATTAATAGTAACCACACCAGTCATATAGATCATAATCTAAATGATTTTAATCTTTGTCTACAGTTCTCCCAGGAACCAGGTACAAAGACCAAATTCTTTGAGTACGCCCCACAATATCCTTGTTTTGTTCTCTCACAGGCGAAGTTTTTGATATTTCACCCTTAAGTATATTTGCTGTAGATTTTTAGGTGTCTTTGATCATGTTAAGGATGTTTCCTTTTTTTTTAGATTTCCAAGGTTTTGATCATGTGTGGGTTTTATCAAATTTTTTTTTTCCTTTAGTTATTGAGATGGTTCCATGGTTTTTCTCCTTATTAATATAGTAGATTACAGAGACTTCTTGTTTACAGTGTTAAACTGAATTTATATTCCTGGAATAATCTATGTTCGCTAGAATTTGCTGGTGAAACTTTCGGAATTTTCTTTGTGCAAAGGTTTTTAATTACAGAGTCGGTTATTTCACAGAGGTTTTTTTCCCCTTATGTCAGTTTTGGTAAGTTATGTTTTTTAAGGGAATTGTCCAGTTTGTCTAAATTTCAAGTCTATTAACAAAAAAACAGCATATGATTCAGTTTACATATAGTTTAAAAAAACAGGCAAAACTATATTGTTTAGGAATAAGTGCTGAATTTATACAGTAAAGCAAGGAGGACAGAGGCTGTGATTAGGAAAGGGTATGCGGGGAGTTCCTGAGTGATGGCAGTATTATGTCTCCTGAGTTGTAAGTACGTGCATCTCTGCTTTAAAACAATCCATTACACTCTGCATTTGGTTTTTGTACTGTGCTTGTGTTATATATCACAAAAATAAGACTAAAAATGAACAAATAGAGTGACTCGTAACAGTATGGATTGACCTACAAACAAAATGTTGACTCAGATAAGCTATGGTATAATACAGTAGGATTCCACTTGTAAAAAGTCTAAAAATAGTTAAAATTAAATCCATTGTTTAAAAATACAGTAGTACATATGGCAATAAGAAAAGCAAGGGGGGGGTGATCACTCCATGACAGCCGTAGTCCTGTCGTTGAGGAGGTGGCTGCGACTGTGTAGGGGCACAGAGGTGGCTTCTCAAGTACTGGCAACCTCAGGTTTCTTTACTTGAGTGGTAGGTACATGGGTGTTTATAATTCTTGGAATTGTGGGTGTTTAATCATTTGTTTATGTGGTATTTCGCCTTTTTAAAAAATTGAGCTTTAGGTGAAAGTTTACAGCGCAAATTAGTTTCTGATTCAAAAATTTATACACAAATTGTTTTGTGACATTGGTTGCAATCCCCACAATGTATCAGCACTCTCCCCCTTCCTACCCCAGAATCCCAGTGTCCATTCGTCCAGTTCCTGCCTTCTCATTGCTTTTGGGCAAGTGTTGCCCATTTGCGCTCATATACTTGATAGAACTAAGAAACATGTTCCTCACGTGTTGTTTTATAGGCCTGTCTAATCTTCGGCTGAAAGATAGCCTTCAGGAGTGGCTTCAGTTCTGAGTTAGGGTGTCTGGGGGCCGTAGTCTCGGGGTTCCTCCAGTCCCTGTCAGACAAGTTAACTCTGGCCTTTTTTTGTGGATTTGAACTTTGTTCTACATTTTTTTCCTCCTCTGTCCGGGACCCTCTATTGTGAGGTGGTAGCCAGGCACCATCTACTCCTTCTAGGCTGAGGCTGATGGGGGCTGTGTGTGGTTCAGGCGGTCCATTAGTCCTAGCGTCTTTAGTTTTCTTCAGTCTTCTTTGCTCTGGATGGGATGGGACCAGCGGATGTATCTGTCTTAGATGGCTGCTCGCAAGCTTTTAAGACTCCAGATGCTACTCACCAAAGTGGGATGTAGAGCATTTTCTTTATGAACTACATTATGCCAATTGACCTGCCCCCTGAGACCTTGGTCAAGTCGTGCTGACTTCTGTGTTGTGTGTTGTCTTTCCCTTCACCAAAGTTAACACTTGTCTACTGTCTAGTCAAAAACAAATCAAAGACTGTTCTGTTCCATGTGTAAACCTGAGCTGTTATCACAGTGATCTCCTATGATATTTGTCCTTTTATCACGGTTGTCATTGCATAGTATTCCGTTGTATGTATGTACCATTATGTATCCATTCATCCGTTGATGGGCACTTACTTAGGTTGTTTCCATCTTTTTGCTGTTGTGACTAATGCTGCAGTGAACCTGGGTGTTTATGTGTCTGTTTGTATGACAGCTCTTTTTTTCTCTACCATATATTCCTAGGAGTGGGATTGCTGAATCATATGGTATTTCTAGTTCTAGCTTTTTAAGGAGGGGCCATATCGTTTTCCATAGTGATTGTACCATTTTACATTCCCACCAGCAGTGCGTAAGAGTTCCAATCTCACAACCTCTCTCCAATGTTTTTCTTGTATTTTTTATTATTAGTGCCAGTAATGTCAGGGTGAGATGGTATAGCGTTGCAATTTTGCATTTTCCTGATGGCCACATTTCTTCATGTGTCTGCTGGCCACCTGACTGTCTTCTTTGGTGAAGTGTATGTTCATATCCTTTGCCCATTTTTTAAACTGGATTGTTTTCGTTGAGGTGTTGACATGTTTTATAGATTAGACCCTTGTCGGATTTGTCATAGCCAAAATTTTTTGGTTCTTTAGGTTCTCTTTTTACAGTCTTGGTGACGTCCTTTGATAAAAGTGTTTAATTTTTAGGAGCTCCCAGTTACTCTTCTGGTGTTTGTGCGTTGTTAGTTATGGTTTGTATTTATGCCATGTACTAGGGCCCCTAGCATTGTCCCTATTTTTTCCTTCCATGATCTTTATCGTTTTAGGTTTTATATTTAGGTCTTTGTTTTGAGTTAGTTTTTGTGTTTGGTGTGAGGTATGGGTCCTGTTTCGTTTTTTTACAGATGGGTGTCCATTCTGCCTGCACCATTTGTTAGATCAGCTGACCACAGGTGGGTGAATTTACATCTGGGTTATCAGTTCTGTTCTGTGTGTCTGTCGCTGTACCAGTACCAGGCTGTTTTGACTACCTTGGCTGTTAAAGTAGGTGCTTCACCTTTTTTTTTTTAAAACAAGGCAAAATATACCCACTTACCCCCAAGAAAAAGGAGACAAAGGTGAGCTTTCTCCATGTTTTATTCATGATTTGGAGTAAGACTGGAAAATCTGAGACCACCACAGTGATGTGATAACTTTTTAGTCTTACTGAGATTTTTTCCCCCTCAATTTTTTTCCCTCAAAATAGCCTCTGCTCTTCCTCAGAAATGAATTGGTTCCAGTTTCACCCCATTTACTCAGATGTTTTAAGACTATGGACCTCAACAGGCCTGCATTATGACTGACTTGGCAGTGACTTACCACAAAACAAACCGCTCACTGGATATGGGTTAAAATCTTATTAACTTGACAGAAAATAGCAAGGAAGTGCTTGGTGGATTTTAACACTTTTGATGTAAATGATTGCTGTTCACACCAAATTAACAGTAAGTACCTAACCCATAAAATATGACCCCACTCAGAGCCACCAACTCCATCAGAACTTTTGACTCCCTGAAAATAAAAGACACACAGGTAAGTATTTAATCGAAATATATTTGTCTAATATCTACAAAGTGTGAACGTTGGTCTTAAGCAGACAAAAGGCACAAAATTAGTAGTATTACAGAGAAGCATTCATGCTACTGGATTTTATAAATATCATCATTGGCATGGTACAGTAAAAAATAAATTAAGCACTGAGCAAAAAATCAAATACTTTATTTCTTTGACCTCATTTTTAAAGGCTGAGGACAGAAATTGAACTGAAACCATGGAACACTTACTTATGCAGGCTTTATGTATATCTTATATCTTAATCACAGTGGTTTTCTTGCAGAGTTTGGGTCAAACTAGAGAGGTGCATTAAAAAAAAAAAAAAATTTGCAGGAAATTCTTTTCTCTTTCCCCAAACTAAATACAAGATTGAGGCTGCGATGCATGCATGTGTGTATATTCAACTTCTGAAGCCCTTTTTTTTAATCACAAAAGTAGTGAAGGCGCCATATGATTTATCTTCTGCTATAAAAGCAGCAGCTTCTGAAAAATGTGTGACTAGTGCTTTCAGTGTGAGAAATTGTCAGAAAGCTTCTGAGGCCAGTAGATGGGAGGAAAATTCCAGGGTTCTCCAGAGGCGTTCAGTCCATCCTGGAAGACTCTGGCATAAACTTTCCAGTTCCTGCTCACCCCCTATCCAGCAAGAAATAGCAATTTATATCTTTCTGAGGGGAAGACAGACAAAAGGTTGAGGTGCAGAGGAGGCGAGAATCAACAATAATTTTGAAATGACAGCCACCCACACCTCTGTGCTACTATATGGATGGCAGCCGGCCCGGCCAACTCACCTTTCTTTTGACAGGAGTTGACTGGGTGAGAATGTCTTTGTGAGTGCGAAGTGAAAAGTAGAAAACTTCATTGATAAAAAGGAGCTCATAATTACCCACTGAAACCTTGGGGGTGCAGTATTTACACATATAATAATACCCAGCAGACGTATACGTATAATGGTGCATGTGTGTGAACACACACACGCCCCAGATGGCTCTTGAATAAATTCAGTCCTGTAGCAGAGATTGGGGGATGCATATTCACAGTATAGGATTCCTCTCTTGGTTACCATTTCTTGGGTGACAGCAAGAGGCTTCAGTGAACATCAGCAGAACCTTGATACTGTACCACTTTAATTCCTACAAAAACAGGGCTATTTCGGGACGCTCTGCACCTCCACCCCATCAGTGGGCCTTCCAGAGGGGACTGACGTAGACCCAGCCATCGCCCTGCAAGAGGAGGAGGGAGACATCACATGGAGACCTCTCAGCAGGGATAAGTTCAGAAAAGCAAGGATATTCCCCCAGCCTGTAAGTCCGAGAGAGCCAGCTGGACGCAAAGCACGCTACAAACAAGCACCAGCCTGCGTGTCTGCCCTGCTCCTGCCATCTCCCAGCCACGCCAAGCTGTGAGCTCACTCACGGCTCCTCAGCCCAGCTGCTCTTTACAGCCCCGTATGATCTCCGTATTTCAAGAAGAGAATCCATGAAGTAAACCAAAATCACAAAAGAAGGGGGATTCTGTTGGTTTGCATCAAGGAAGACCACTGGGCAAAAAAGCTCCTGGAGCCAGAGGGACAGGAGAAAAAGTGGGGAGGCAGATGAGTGGAGACTAGAGAGACAAGGCCTGAATATGAGGATGTGGACACCCAGCAGGCAGTAGTCACAGATAAGTCAGCCGCCAATAATCAAAACAGTATGTGTACACAATCGTGTCCTGGAAGAAAATAAACTAAATGCTGACAGTTCTGGTGTTGGGATGAGTTTTATTCTTTAGATAGCCCCAGGGCTTGTTACTTGTAGAAGTCAGATAAGCACCCACGGGTTGAAGATAGCCCACAGACATATTTCAATTAGCTTGAAGTGCTTAAAATATTTTCAGTTTCTTTACGACAGGGGCAAGTCAGATTTCTGGTTGAAAACCGGATGATCAGCCTATCATTGCCTGGAGCTGTTGCCTGGAGCTGAGTGGCATCTACCTCTTTAGATGTTGGCTCTCCTGTCAGCCCCAGACTCACCAGCCTGAGGGCCTGCCTTAAAGACTGCAGCTCCTACACTTCCATAATTTCCAATTCTGCTTTCAAAATACTTCCCAATTTCTCCACAGACAACTTCAAGGAAAGAGCAGAAGGGCCTCAACTGGGTGCATGGTACCCTGGCCTTCCCAAGCATGCCCATCCCATTTGGCCCTAAGAGGCAAAGCTCTGAAACGGTGGTTCTCCGCTATGAGGGTCCCCGCCACCCGTGTGTGCAGATGGGCTGTGAGATGCCTCACCAACTAATCCGTTCACTGATAATAAAGTAACGGGTTGTGAACAGCTGCTTAAGTAGAAGGAGCAGCATCCAGATGTGCCATCCCATTGCCCCCTCCTGGCAGGCTTTTCTAACAGGGGAGTATCAGTTGCTCAGCTTTTCCCACAGGAGGAAGTTGCTGCAGAGCAACTGTCCCAAAATCTAGGCCAAAGCTGGAGCCAAAGCCAAGACGCCCCAGTCTTTCCCAAGGCCCCTCCCTGGCCCTCTGTCCCCACCCTGCCGCACCGCAGGACGGGCTTTCCTGGGGCCGAGAGCTGGGTTACCTCCTGGACAAAATACTTGGGCTGCCAGGGTGTGCAGAGGTTCTCCCGCTTCCGTTCCTCCACCCGCTGCTTCTCCTCCAGGCGCCGCTTCTGCTCAGTGGCTGCATCTATGTCCCCCAAACGCAGGTATCGGGTCACCTCCCGCCACAGGTTCCTGGGGAGGCATGGAGGAGAGGAAATAGAGTGGCCAGCCTGCTCCAGGGTGACAGTCTCAGAGGGAGCATCTGGACAGGCCATCTAGAGGGGTGGCTCGTTCCAGGCACCTCTGGGGTACTTAACAGCCGGGGTTTAAGCCCAGGCTGCTGGCTCCAAGGTTGTGCTGTTTCCTCTAAACTCTCCACCGACCCCAGCAGCATGCTTTTTCAGGGCTCTGTCTAGTGATCAAATCTAATCGGAATGGTGGTAGCAGGCAGTAGTGTTAAACTACTACAAACAACACAGCAATAGCAGACACGGCACCGTATTTCTAAGCATTTTACATATAAACTCATTTAATCCTCACTACAACCCAATGATATAGACGCTGTATTATCCCCATTTTACAGAGGGGAAAACTGAGGCTCCCTTGAGATTAAGCAACTAGCCCAAGGCCACCAAGCTGTTAAATATAAAGCATGCTCCCCAACAAGGGAACTCAATCAAATGAGTTGTAGAGTGTGTGCACTCGCGCTGCAGGATCTGCCATCCTCCCCCGTGTCCCCACTGAAAACCACTTCTCTGCCTCATCCGCTGTAGAAGGAAGCCCAGATTCACGCCCGTCTGATGTGCAGCATCCTCAGCAGGGGCTTCCCAGAGCCACCACCGACACACACACACACTGTTCTAGAGGGTCAGGAAGGGTAGAGGCGACCCACCCCCGACACACACACACACACACACACACACACACACACACACACAGTTCTAGAAGGTCAGGAAGGGGTAGAGGCGACCCACCCCCGACACACACACACACTGTTCTAGAGGGTCAGGAAGGGTAGAGGTGACCCACCCCCGACACACACACACCCACACCCACACACACAGTTCTAGAAGATCAGGAAGGGGTAGAGGCGACCCACGCCCCCGACTCACACACACACACACACACACTGTTCTAGGAGGTCAGGAAGGTAGAGGCAACGGACTCCCGCTGCCTGTGCACTTCCAAACTTCAACACATCACAGGTGGGGCTTTCCCACAGGGGGAGGCGTCAGAACTCTTAGTGGCACCTGACTGAGGAAATGTTGCCTCTGCACCTAGGGCTGAGCAAACGCTCCGTCATTAGGCCAGAGTCACTTCCACAGTGGAGCACCCTTGACCCTTTTCACAAGAGGGCTTAGCTGCCCACAGAAGGAAGCCCTGAGGATGTGCATGATCAAACTGGGAGGGGCAGACGGGGCTCCAGTCAGCAGGGACAATGAGCAGCAACTTCTGAGGAGGGTCAGAAGCCATGGGAAGAAGCTGACAAAGGTCAAGATCCTGCTGCAAACTTGGCCAGTCCACTACTCCCGCCCTGAACCCCACTGTACAGACACCCAGGGAGAGTGATGCCCCTGCCCCCTTTTTACAACGGAAGAAACTTCTGGAACTGGGACAAAGCCAGGTGGGACTGGCCTCACAGCGCTTGCTCTACTGTGCCTGATACCTGATGAAGAGGGACGTAAACTGAGGTAGAGGAGCAAACAGTGAGGGGCGGGCCCAGCTACAGCCCTTCTCGTCGCCCACACATCATGGTGCTGAGGGAGCAGCTGGGCCCAGGACAGTCGGGTGCTGGGGGTGCTCTCGGGCGGGCCCTCCCAGAGTAAGTCCCATCATAGGCCAGTGGCCCACAGCTTAGAGGGCAGAAACCCCCAAGGACTAGAGCGGGTGGAGAGCGCTGTGGGGGCCCGTCTGGGGAAGGCTCTGAATGCTGAGCTAGAGGAAATGGCCTGCACGATGGCAAGGCGAGAGAGAAAGTCACTGAGAAAAGCAAAGACCAAGCCAAAGGGAGCTGTATCTGAGGAGGGGAGGTCATCATGGCAAAGGGCTGGTATCCCTGGGCACTGTCAGCTCTGGCCAAGGCCACCCGCAGGCCAGGCTCTGAGCACCATGAGCAGATTTACAGGAGCAGGGACAGACGCTAGAAGATCTTCACTCTGAACCCTAAAAAGCAGTGGTTCCCTTCCAAGAGTCGGCACCACTGTGAGGGCGGAAACACAAGCCGCCACAGGCCACTCAGCCACGCTGATCCCTCCCTCGCCTCTGCAGGAAAGGCCAGGCAGACCCCGCAGGATGACTGGGCTCAGGTACTCTGAGCAGCGAGGAAGCCCTCTGACCAGGCACTCCACTTCTTGGGGCTGTTTCCTCCATAGAAAATAACGAAGGGTGGGCTGGATGTCCCTGTTGTCCAGCTCCACATTCAGAAAAGTTTGCCTGGGTAAGAAAATAAAGAGGTAGCCCCTCCTCTCCTGCTCTGTAGCAGACACCATCTCCGCTCCAGGCTGAATTCTGAGTTCCCATGGACTCACTAAGGCAGCAGATCTTAATGGGAGAAGCTAGCCTGATATTCCTGGAGGAACAGTATGAGGTAATCATAGCTTTTTTCTCAATAGCCGAACTGAAAGGACAGTCGTGCGATGATAGGAGCTAAATGCTGCCAGGACTCCCGATTGCGGGAGTGCTCAGCACAGGCAGTGTGGGCACGGGGTGGACTTCTCTCCTTCCGCAGCCTTTCCCTCGACCTGCCACCACTGCCTAACAGGCTGGGCAGAAAAAGACAATGCACAAGAGGTCAGGCTCACCATTTAGACACTGAGAAGGTTACACTCACTGTCCCCAAATAAACCCATTAACAAGAAGTGTGTCCTAATCCTACAACAAAGCAAAGGTGCCCGGAATACTGAAGCTTAATTTCTATCAAACTCATAGGCTATGATGCATTATTCATACACAGGGCTGCATCCGGCTTTGTTTCCACCTAATAAACACTTTTTCCATTTGGGTGCGAATTCTTGCAATGGCAAACACTTCCAAGACATCATTTGTAATTTCATTTTTTACCCTCCATCATATTTCTATAGAGCTTTTAGATTGTAAAAGCTGTAAAAGGCCAGACAGTAAATATTTTAGGCTTTGCAGAGCACATGGTCTCAGTCGCAACTATGTAACTCTGGCACTGTAGCAGGAAGGCAGCCACAGATGATACGAGTATGTAGGGATAATATACAGACAATATGAATGACCACGGCTATGTTCCAATAAAGCTATATTTACAAAAATCAGCCAGGTGCAGGATTTGGCCCGTGGGTCAGAGCTTGCCAATTTGGTAGATAAAAAATAAAAATGTAATATTCCAAGAAGATTCTGCCATGTCCCTACATAAACATCACTTTAAATGGGTGCATTATATTCATACCACAGAGTGGCTTTACTGATTCAGTGGATACTCCATACCGTTTTCCTATTTTGGACAGTTAGGTGGTTTCTTTTTCTTCCTTTCGTTTTTTGTTTACTGTTTAGTTTTATTTAAAAAAAACAAACACACACCTAAATTTATGTTTAAAACCTTTTCTGAACTTGACAATTTTCCCTTAGGATACATTCCCAGAACTGGAATCCAAGACTAAAGTGAATTCATGAGTTTAAAACTACTGATCCATGCAGCTGAATTACAAACCTCATTTACACACCAACCGGAAGGACAGGGTATATAGACTGCCAATTACATCACACCCTTGCCAGCATTGAATTTTTTCATTTTTTAAAGTTTTATAACTTTGCTAGCTAGTCTGGTAAAAAAAATACCATCTCATTGATTCACTGCACAGTTCTTTGACTTCAGCTCTATTTAACTTCGCAATCAAGCAATAGACCAGTGGAGCTGACAACCTTTCAGGTCAGGCATTAAAAGTCTGCTGTAAACTATCTTTACACTCCTCCCTCTAACTGCAGACTAACTAAACTGAAAGCTACAAAGTCCCTACCCCTAAGTGACACACAGTGGAAAATCCAAACATTTAAGGAGTTAGAAGAACACAATTTTTGGCCCATTTCCATCCGCTGAACTTGAGTCCCGCTAAGCTGGAGGGAGAATCACAGGGTGGTTCCTACCTGGACTCCATGGGCCCCTGCTTCTCGAGAGGTCTGATCTTCTTAGGGTACGTCGGCAATGCAGTCGTGTCGATGACTTTGCTTTCTCCATTGCTGTAGGTGAACTCCAAGGTACCGTTCCATTCCCCGTGGGCTTTACAAACAATGGTGTTGGTTGGATTGTGCTTCACTTCTGCTGTGACCCTGAATTAATAAGTCAAATGAACATACTTTGCTAGATTATCAAAACAGAGACTTCAGAAGGTACACTCTCCTATTTAGAGAAGATTTTTTAAGGCGAAGGGGAGAATTGTTTTTGCACTGCTGCTCCAAGACGAACTCTTAAGATACAATCTCATATCCTTGAACAGAAAAAAGACATTGATGGAAAAACTGGTAAACTCTGAATAAAGACTGCAGATGAGTTAATAGTAATGTACCAAAAAGATGTTTACCTGTGTCTTACTGACCATGCAAAGGCATTCGACTGTGTGGATCATAACAAATTACAGATAACATTGCGAAGAATGGAAATTCTAGAACACTTAATTGTACATAGACCAAGAGGCAGTTGTTCAAACAGAATAAGGGGACACTGCGTGGTTTAAAGTCAGGAAGGGTGTGCATCAGGGTTATATCCTTTCACCGTACTTAGTCAATCTATATGCTGAGCAAATCCAAGAAGCTGGAAAAATGTAGCATCAGGACTGGAGGAAGACTTATTAACAACCTGTGATATACAAATCATACAACCTTGCTAGGTGAAAGTGAAGAGGACTTGAAGCACTTACTGATAAGGTCAAAGACTATAGCCTTCAGTATGGAGTACACCTTAACATAAAGAAAACAAAAATCCTCACAGCTGGACCAATAAGCAACATCATGATAAACGGAGAAAAAGACTAAAGTTGTCAAGGATTTCATTTTACTTGGATCCACAATCAATGTCCATGGAAGCAGCAATCAAGAAATCAAATAACATTGCACTGGGTGAAATCTGCTGCAAAAGACCTCTTTAAAGTGTTAAAAAGCAAAGATGTCACCTTGAGGACTAAGGTGTGCCTGACTGAAGCCATGGTATTTTCAGTCGCCTCATATGCATGTGAAAACTGGACAATGAATAAGGAAGACTAAAGAAGAACTGATGCCTTTGAGTTATGGTGTTGACGAAGAATACTGAGTACACCATGGACTGCCAGAAGAACAAACAAATCTGTCTTGGAAGAAGTACAGCCAGAATGCTCGTTAGAAGCAAGGATGGCGAGACTTCGTCTCATGTACTTTGGACGTGTTATCAGGAGGGACCAGTTCCTGGAGAAGGACCTCATGCTTGGTAGAGTAGAGGGTCAGCGAAAGAGGAAGACCCTCAATGAGATGGACTGACACAGTGGCTGCAATGATGGGCTCAAGCATAGCAACAATTATCGTTCTGTTGTGCATGGGATCACTATGAGTAGGAACCGACTTGACAGCACCTAACAACAACAACAATGTACCAATGTTAATATCTTAGGTTTGGCAAACATACAATGGTTTTATAAGACGTTAACACTGGGATGGAAATCCCTCCAAAAAATAGGATCTAATTAGTGCTACGTTTTAACCACAGAAAGGGTAAAGTATAGGGAGAACTTTTAAATCTTTAAATGAGGTCAATTCAGTATGTGGATCCAACATGACCACTCACAATCCCAACAGAGATCACAATGGAAAAGGAGAGATATAATCTCCCAACACCCACACAATCCCGAGTAAATGCTGAGCAGGAGCTATGCTCAGCCTCACATCAACACCTTCCTACTCCTGGCCTTGCCTTGAGGGCACACCTTCACCCTCTCTTGAAAAGTGCCTTTATGGAGATTTGTGACTTCTTGCTTCACCTGCCTCCAGATCTCCACCTCTGGATGAAAGCAGACACACATGCCCACCTCCCCCTCCACCCTGAAGCTTTCTACGGTCAGAGCTACACAGGAGAAACAGGGACGCCTGCTCCCAGGCAGCCAAATGAGGGAGCTAAGCTACTCTTATCTGATAGTCCAGCTCAGGCTGAATTTAGTTTTCAAATGCAGCTAGGATGCTTTCTTCCTGAGCCTGAGAATAGCCACCATGAACATGACTAGCGAACCAAAGGCTTCCATCTTCTGGAAACTTCTCGGGTGCACACAGAGGAAGGATACTTGTGGTGTGCTGGTAAATGTTTAACAACCAGCTCTCCGTGGAGGAAAACAAAAACACCCTTCTCACTGTGGCTGATTTCAAGCTACCGATGTAACGTCCCTAAATGTGGAGTTGGGAAGAGACGTGAGTTGGTGCTTGCTGATGCGTCCACTTGCTGGGATGCTGTTTGTTAGATACTCATGCTAACTCCATCTAGAGGAATGTTTCCCTATAGACTAGACCTGCTCTGAAAGAGGACTTTTTATAACTGGAGCAATAAAAATAACTGCTTCCTCAAACAGCAGCGCTCTCCTTCAGTTTGCTGGAGTCAGGCTTCCCAGACTAAGAAGTAGTCATGACCTCACAGACTGACCCCGTAAGATGCACGACCTCATAGAGTCGCCCCATGAGATGCACGACCTGATAAGAGTCACCCTGTGAGATGCACAACCTCATATTCACACCGGAGATGCACAACCTCAAAGATTCACTCTGTGAGATGCACGACCTTAAAGATTCACCCCGTGAGATGCACAACCTCACAGATTCACCCCATAAGATGTACCACCTCACAGATTCACTCTGTGAGATGCACGACCTCATAGAGTCACCCCATGAGATGCACGACCTGATAGATTCACCCCGTGAGATGCACGACCTCATCGATTCACCCCATGAGATGCACGACCTCCTAGATACACCATGTCAGCTGCAGGATCTGGGGTTCGTGATTATATAATGTAGCCAATTTAACATGAAACGGTGAACTCTCAGGCAGTAATCTGAGGACCCAGATCAAATCACTTCAGAGCCGGGAAACAGGCTGTGGGCTCAGCAAGGAGAGCTTACTGTAACAAATGGAGGTACCTTTTAATCTCTGATGTGCGTGTTCTGCAAATCCACCACCAGTGGATATCCCCCTCAGTTCAGATTGGGGAAGGCTCCAGAAAACTGCCATGTGAGATGGGGAAGAGTCACCTCTTTCTCAAAGCACCTGTCTCAAGTTAAATGCCTCAAACACTCACGGGAATATTCTCAGCTAACAACATCTTGATTTCCATCTCATCCCATTACTGGGACTCCATATTCTAATACAGAAAAGAAACCCAGAGCAAAGTTGGAGCCTCCCTGGATGGTCTCCACAAGCCCTTGGCCACCTCCTACCTGTGGACTTTCCCTCCGTAAAAAGGCTTCGTGTGGAAGATCACCGTCGCTGAGTACCCCGTCTTGGCACAGTTGATGCTGACTTTTCCTCCGAGCTCCACCCACGGAATGGTGAGAATGGACCGTGCATAGGCACTGGGCAGGGTGAACACGTACTCCTCCCCGAGGTCCAGGAGCCTCAGCACACCTCCAGGGAGAGAGGATACAAGAGTTAGGCACACAGACACGGGAAAAGGGTGGTTGGGGATCAAAATGGCAAGAAGACGCAGACACCAAACAGCATCCTGTGACAGATGTCACATCTCCCACCTCTGCAAAGGTCAGCCACCCATACATCATGTTATTCATTGTGTGCCAGGCACTGTGCAAGATCCTGAGAATATAACGATCAACAAGACAGACTCAGTTTCTGCCCTCAGGGAACAGAACAGAAAGATGGACATTATTAATCACCAAACGAATACAGTTATAACTGTGATAAGGTGGGAGGGAGACATGCCCAGGGCCATGGAAGCCTCCATCTGGAGGAGCTGGCCTCAACAGGGAGGATTTCTCCAAAGAAGTGACGCTTGACCTGAGAAGGAGCTGAGTAAGAGAAGAGGGGAGGGAGGAGTGTTCCATGCAGAGGGAACAGCACATGCAAAGGCCTTATGGTGGGAAGGAGGCTGGTGAGGATGAAGGGGCTGGAAAAAAGGGCCCACGTGGGGCACTGGAGGTGGAGTATGTGGGTGTGGAGGCCGGCCAGGTTAGCAGGGGTCAGACCTTGTCTTATAAACTTCTAAAAAGCATGCTAAGAGGTTGTGTCTTTGTCCTGAGAACAAGAGTCAACCTCAGTGGTTCTCATGAAGTTAGATAAATCAGGTTTGACTGGTTTCCCGAAACACGTGCCAGTGCTGCCAGGTACCCAGGGGAGACACTTGCCAAGAGCAGGGCTTTGGAACTAGTTCATTCCGGTTCGAACCCCTGCTGAGAATTTGCCTTTCCACCCCAGATATACTGAAGCAGAATCTATAGTTTAACAAGATGCCCAGCTGATTCTTATGTATAATAAATTTTGAGAACCACTGCTCTACCAGTGGTTCTCAGAACTGGTCCCTAACCAGCAGCATTAGCATCTCTTGGGAACTTGTTAGAAATGCACATTCTCAGCAGGGGTTCGAACCAGAACGAACCGGTTTGAAGTCCTGGCCAAGAGCAGAAGCTTGACATCACCATCTACCCAGCTCCAGATCAGGGGGGGCTCTCAAGCCTAGGATCTAAGTGTTAGGCTTGGAGTGGGCGTGATCCTCTTGAAACAAGGCACCAGTATGTGGATTTGTCTATTTTTCCAGAGAAAAGGGTCACAGCTTTCCTCAAGTTCTCAAAGGATGTTGTGATAACCCTCCCCACCCCCCAAAAAATTACAAAGCCCCAGGCTGCTGTAGAGTTTGCACACCACACTCAGGAGTCTGCAGAGGAAGCTGAAATCCCGCCTTTGCTTTGCCTTCAAATTGGGCACCCACAGGGCTGCTTCCATGCAGAGGGGGCACCATTGTTAATGCACACGAGGCCCATACAGGCTGGCAGGGGCCTTGAGAGCCAGCGCACCAGGTTCTCTAAGACGCACCCCATTAAAGCACCTACTCAGTGTTCCATTCTGCCTCTCCAGGGCTTTATCACCAAGGAACGCCCCCCACCCCCCAGCTCTACTCCAGCTCATTCCAGGTCAGATGATTATCAAGGGCACTGTGAGCCTCAGGAAGGATAACAAAAAGAAAAAGAAAACTCCCTACTGCCGAGTCGATTCTGACTCATAGTGACCCTATGGGACAGAGGAGAGCTGCCCCATAGAGTTTCCAAGAGCAGCTGGTGGATTTGAACCGCTGACCTTTTGGTTAGCAGCCAAGCTCTTAACCACTGCGCCACCAGAGCTCAGCCAGAAGGACAGACCTGCCCTTTTATCAGATACATGCAACCAGAGGTGGTTAGTGACCTTCCTCCCTGGGCATCGGGTTCCTCCACGCCATGTGTGAAGCGGGGGTGGGGGGACTATCAAGGCTTCCATATGTGGGCACTTCCTGGCTGCCAGACACTCTCTTAGGCTAAACAAGTATCTCAGTCAATTGAAGCTAGAATTTGCCCAGTAGTGTGTGTGTCTGTCTTCCAGTACAGTGAGCTTGCAGGGGAACCAGAGGAGAGATGCGCTAGTTTGTACAGAGAAGTCACGATCACTGTTCATTTCTAAAGTCAACACTAAGGTGCATTCAACTATAATTCTACTTACCCTGGAAAATTCCTTAATTGCCCACAAGGTACAGTATGTATAATATTCTGGACTTGGTCTTTGCACATGTTATCAGGATGGACCAGTCCCTGGAGAAGGACATCATGCTTGGTAGAGGGTCAGCGACAAAGAGGAAGACCCTCAACGGAGATGGACTGACACAGTGGCTGCAACAATGGGCTCAATGGGCTCAAGCATAGCAACGATCGTGCGCATGGCGCAGGACCCGGCAGTGTTTCATTCTGCTGTACACAGGGTCGCTAGGAGTTGGAAATGACTCAACAGCACCTAACAACAACAGACTTGTCCAAAACCACCAACCGCACTCTCATTAAGTCCATCAAATTCAGTTCTCCCCACCTGGCCCTGTAAACCCAAGATGAAATACTGGCTTGTGTTTAGGGGTCTTCATCACCCCTTAATTTGGTCGGGAGCTCACACCACAAGAGGTGCAGGTGGGACCTGAGATCACCAAAGAAAAGCAGATCTGTGGGCCCCTGACAATCCTGAGGGCTTGGATGGCAGACACTTCAGCAGCATTTAAAGCTTCTCTCTCTCTGGTCAGGAATATAACTGAATACGTGTAACTTAAACGCACCAATAACGCGACTCCACTATACGGAATATCGGAACAGATGGGACTTCTCCCCCACCTTCCCTACTCTGATTTGCTGCAGTTCTTGTAATTGAGTTAACTTTGCTCCCTAAAAGTAAAGCCCTGGGCCACCTAATGTTCTCATTGTGACACTCGTCCACACACACACTTGAGACAGGAGCACTGCCCCAGATGACCCTTGAGGCCCTTCCTGTCCTATCCCGTGCATCTGTGCGAGGGCCGCGGCACCCGTGAGAAGATGATGCTGGAGCTTCATTCTTTACAGGTGCTGATCAGGACCCCCGGAGGAGGATGGTCAGGTCTGAAATACCCTGTTTCCAAGCCCACTTGGTGCCTGACTTCCTCAGATTAGGTTGCTTAGGCAGACCGCCCAAAGCAGGTGAGGTCACCCACCTAAGGCCAAATACAGACGTGCAACGGACAGTGAAGAACTAGGTGTGAAAGCTGGAGAGAGAGAGGCCGCCTGGATGCCTCTTCCTGTCCCAGTTCTACTCACAAGCCCCCCTAGTTCCTCGAGTGTTCCCCCACGACATCACAGTCTTGGAGATGGTGGCAGGTGAGAGGCCCCTGGCATTGAGTCCCTCCCCATCCTGAGAGGTGGGCTGCCAGTCATCTTGCCTTCAAAGTCCCAGGGAAGGAGGTTCGCCTCCTGTATCCCCACCCTATCCACACATACCCCACCTAGGGGCAGATTAGCCAGTAAGCAAGGTACACACCAAAACCAACCTACCAAATCCATTGCCACTGAGTTGATTCCGACTCATAGCTACTCTGTAGGACAGAGTAGAACTGCCCCATAGGGTTTCCAAGGAACGGCTGGTGGACTCAAACTGCTGACCTTTTGGTTAACAGCTGAGCTCTTAACCACTTTGCCACCAGGGCTCCCTATAAGGTATGCACAGGCTTACAGTAAGCAAGGTACATACAGCTTAATTGTGTGTACTTACTAACCTGTAGTGCTCAATTTCACATGGGTTATGTGGTGAAAAACAGGTGAAATGGTGCACTACCGATCAGTACGCCCGCGCGCACCTTTTCTAGCAGGCAATCCGGCCCACCAGTGCTAACAGACTTTGCAGTTCTTGCTTGCTGCCGTCCAGTGCATTCTGACTCATGGCGACCCCACGTGTTACAGAGTAGAACTGCTCTATAGAGTTTTCTTGGCTGTGATCTTAGCAGAAGCAGAGTGCCAGGCCTACTCTTCCAAGGTACTGCTGGGTGGGTTCAAACTGCCAACCTTTAGATTAGCAGCTGAGCACAAACTGTGCCGTCTAAGGACTTTGCTATAACAGACTAAAAACCTACCAAACCCACCGCCGTCCAGTTGAGTAGAACTGCCCCATGAGGTTTCCAAGGTGTGGCTGGAGGATTTGAACTGCCAACCTTTTGGTTAGCAGCCAAACTCTTAATCACGGTGCCACCAGGGCTCAACAAGTCTTTTCTTGGCCCATACAGGGATCGAACCCTCGATCTTGGCGTTATTAGCACCATGCTCTAACCAGCTGAGCTAACTGACCACCTGCTAACAGCCCACTGGCTGGTAAATCCTTCCAGGGGGCTAATACGTCTCCCCCACACCACAACCTCACCCCAATTTCTGTTTTGTCCCTATTTTGTGGTTAACCCTTCCTGACCTTAGTTGGGGTACCTTGGGGGGTCCTACCCATTCCTAGTCTAGCAAGCAGGCTGTCTCTGCAGAAAGGACCCCACACAGCTTGATCTCAGCGTGCGGAGTCCTCCTGGGCTCACTCCCGGTTCACAAACTTAGGCGACAGGTTGTGAGCTGGGACTGTACGACTGATACTTTCTTTACATGGAGAATATGCCACAGCATCTTCTTAAAGACCTGGATGAGATCTTAGATCATTTTAAATCCTGTCCCTCGCCAGCCTAGTGGTCTTAACCTCTCTGAGCCTCAGTGTCCTCACCCTGACACAGAGATAGTGGCGTCCACACCTCACCCGACTACCGTAGGCGAGAGAAGGCACTTAACGACACTCAGTGAAAAGCACGCACTCTGAGCCTGCAAGAGTCCTGACCATTTTCTATCCTAATTACCCCTCACTCTCTGAAGAAGCTCTCTTGATGGGTGGGTTCTTGACAATGCATTTCCATTTGGGAATAAAGAGGAAATCAGAAAGTGTGGCAGTGGGTTATGAGCATGGAGAGATGGCAGAGAGAGGTGGGATGAGATTTTGAAAATTCAACGTTTTAGGTAAGAGAGCGCGTGCTCTCCCATTCATCTTTAGAAAAACCTTTTCTAAGTCAAGGTGAAATTCCCCTCAAACCAACTGCTGTGATGGCGATC